GCTAAAGAAGAAGAAAAAATCAAGGCCCAGTAAAAGTCTAGATCTCAACCTGATTGAAATGCTGTGGCAGGACCTTAAGAGGGCTGTGCATAAACAAGTGTCCACAAACCTCAATGGATGCAGTGTTATAAAGTAGAGTGGGCCAAAATTCCTCCACAGTGCTGTGAGGGATTGATAAAGCAATCCAGAAAATGATTACTTCGTTATTGGTGCTAAAGGTGGTTCTACAAGTAACTTTGAGAGAGGTAACAAGATCTTAGTATAGTGAGAAGAGGATTGATAAGAAGTGGCCAGGTGGTAGAAACAAAGAATCTGAAGGGTGGAAAGTAAAAACAGAGCAGATGGAAAAATCTCCTCAGTAGAATGAAAGTATGGCCAAGAAAAAACAGTTTGCTCAGTTGAAAATAGGAAATAAATTCTGTTTTGTATGTGGAAAGGACATCTCCGGGATGCCTGTCCAGAAAAAGTTATTAGAAAGAGAAGGAATACAGAGTCATCAGTTTACTGTGTCTCAAAAATCTTGAAGCCAGGGTTAAACAGCTCACTTAATGGAGAAACTAGAAGACACGTTGCTATGGAGACAGGAATGTCAAAATTGAATGAGACTGGGTCAAGTCAGGAGAGAAAAACATTCATTTATTTACTGCAATAAATACAGAATTAGTTAAAGAATATGGAGAACTTGAATTCAAGACAAAGTTGTGTGGGACGTGAGAGACACATGTTCGCAATTGTGTGTGTGTCACCCCGATGTGATACTTAAGGAAAATATTTTACCTCACAAAAGTGTCCTAGTAAAAGATTTTGGAGCACCACCATTGTCTGTACCTGTGGCCAATGTACATATTCAGTATAAGGATTTGGAAGGGGAATGGAAGGTAGTTGTGTCTTATGATAACCTGGTCCCATGCCTAATAGGAAAAGATTTGGCAAGACATATAAACAATGTGTGTGTATATATATACCCAATCTTAGGGGCAAATCCAACCCTTGGTGCAGTCTGAGTCTGGAACTGAGGAGGAACCTTTTGACAAAAATACTCCTCTTCCAAATGATTATCCTGAACCTGATGGGTCAACTAAACAGACAAGAGGAAGACGGTTATATTAATGCTTTTAAGGAGAAAATATCCTCAGACCACAGAACAAAAGTCAAATGAAAGTTTGAAACCTTTTTTCTACTTGTGAAGTCAGAGGGAAATGAAGCTAGTTATCTCACACACGACAGTTATAAGAAAGGCAGAAAACCAAATAAATTACAAAGATGTTTCTGCTGTGGTAAAATTTCTCTTATTTTGAAAGACTAGTATGTTCACAAACATGTTAAACAAAAATAAATATTTTAAGTCTGAATAAACAAGGAAAAGGAAAAATAGGAACTGAACCAGAAGTAAACCAAAAGAAAAACAAACAAACATATGTGATGTTTAAAAAGTTTGTGGCAATGGTCAGTAATAAATTTAGAAAAATCAGTAGTAAACATGCAATGTATTTAGAAATACATTGATATGCTCAAGAAAATAGATAAAAGAATAGATATACTGGAGAACGCTGATGAGAAAAATCAGTACAACACATCATACACTGATAAAAATGTACCAATGTGTTCAATGCCCTGGTGGCTATATTGTGCAGATGGGGATTTCCAACTGAGATTGTTTTGGATTTAGGTACAAACTTTACTTCAAGATTATTGCAAAATACTGTACAGGCAGTACAGTGAGAGAAGGAGAAACAGATGGTGATATTCACAATGTTAGTTATCTGGAAAGGCCCCTTGTACCAATAAGGGTTTCCAGAATCACTTATCAAATGCTCATCACGACAGAATCATGACAAAGCTCTACTTGGGAGGAAATTGCTTTGTATTCCAAAGGCAACAACTGTCCAAAAGGAAGAGAAAACTATATCGGAGGTAAAGTTGCCTTGAAAGCCTTATACAATAGGTACTACTGTACAGAAAAACCTTTGAATGAAAGTGCAAGCAATTGACATTCAAAAGTTTATGTGAAGAACTTAGAAGGAATAGGGAAGGAGAAGCAGTAGTTAAAAGTAGAAGAGAAAGTTTGGGGGTGAACAAATGACTGTGCCACTTGCTATAGTTAAAATGGCAGAGTCGTCAGCTCCAGTGATTGCAAATTCTGAAACTCCATTGACATCCGGAAAAACTCATCCAATTAAAAAAATTACTGTTGGTGAGATCCCAGGAAACAGTGCCAGAGAATGTGAGAGCTTCGTTTCAGCCTATGAAACCAAAAGTTAAAAAGCCTGATTACGTGTCCTGCATTTCAAGGTTGTTGTTCACAAATAAACCAAAATTGATTGATAAAAGAAGTGTATATACAACAAGTACCAGATTTCCTTGACCCGGAGTACCCAAAGTTTGTTTACAGGTTGGAGAAAGGACTATACGGACTAGGACATGCAGAAAAAGTACAAGTGATACTGATTTTAAAAGAACTTCAACAAGGTGTTGGGGATAGGTGTCTTTTCAGAGGAGGAAGAGATGAATGTTGTACATACGTTAGTTCATTTGCAAATGATTTAGTAATGACTAATGGTAGTGAACAGTAATATAATTAAATAGCAAAAATATTAAGTTGTTTGAAATTTCCATGGTAACAGGAGAAAATAGGTGATTGGCTGGGGGGTACAGGTAGCCAGTCTATCCAGGAGAGCCTGAATTAGGAGGGGCTAAAGGGCTGGAATGGGGGAGGGGGAGAAGTTTGGATGTATTTGAAGAAAAAGGTTGTTTTGGGCAGTTGGGCGGCAAATTAAGAAAAACTGATGTTGAAATCTGTTTCCCTAAAAATTGTTACCTTGTAATAAAGATATCATTTTTTTTCATTCTTTAACCACTTGGTCTTGTATAGCTAATGGCTAGAGTAAAGCCCTTTAAAGTAAGGTTATTTTATAATGTGACAGTCTGAGCAGAGACTTGTCACACATGGCTTCTCCATTTTGGTTCCATTTTTGTTAAATAAATCATGGCATGGTGTGATATGTGATCTGTTGTTGTTTTTCTGAGGTTGTGTTTATCTAATTTTCAGATCTGCTGAGGACTAGATGATCTCCATCCTTCCATTCACACAATCTTTGATTCAGGAGACTGCATCAGTGTACACCAATTTCAGGGTGCATGGCTGCTCTTAGAGATGAGTACTATTCTTCATCATCTGAGCTGACAGCAAAGCTTGTTGATTATTCTGGCAGCAGCCTCAGTTACTAAAGGATAAGTTGTTTTTGGAAAGATCTGCAGAACTGGTTTGCAGTCTATCTGGGCACACTTGATTGCTTCTATGCTACTTAAGTTATGATAAGAGACCACCCATCCGCACAAGACTATTAAAGAGAAAAGGTAGAAAAAGAATCTGTGTATTTACTGAGGGATGTGATGAGTTCTGTTGGATTCATTGGCTGCTATAGAGATCAGACAGACACAAATGTAAAACAACCACATCTTTTAATAGAAAGCAACAAACATGCAAATAGCAGGTATAGAAATTTATTTGAACCAATGTTTTTACTATAAGGTAAGTTATATTAAACATTGATCCAAGCTCCCATGTTTGCAAGTTAAGGGAAAATATTGCACTTTGCATTTTCTAGCACCCCTCATTCATGGCAAAACACTTTAAAAATGTTTTGTTTTGTTTCTTGCACTCACAAATCATGCACACATTCATTCAAAATCAGAATTTTAGGTTACCCAAAAGCAAAACCTTAAAATTGCACTAAAGCTTTGTAAGGAAAAATATAATTCATGACGTATACAAATTTCAGGACGCCTAGCTGCTCTTACACAGGAGTCAATTACTCTTCATCCTCATTTTCATTCTCTTGGCCAGAACCTTCAGACCGGTCACCTTCGAGACGATCTGCAAGACAGAAAGTATTTTTAAAGCACTGAAATGAGTTTAAAACACTTATTTTTAATTTAGAATACAACACTACTGTTGATGTACTTAGTACAAAAGACTACCGTATGTGGAGTTATATCTACAAGTATAATGATGGAATGGAAACAAAGGAACACAAAACAGCACAGTATTATAAATTGTGATGGTGTATCAGGAAACAGCAGTATCTTCGCAGAATGTAACATGGAGGTGGGGATAATAATAAGGCATAATGAGTAAAGTTTGTGAAGTTTCTCCTTTCCACATACAGAGTTCTTCACACCTAGATTTACAGTGTTCTGAAACAAGAAGACATTATTTTTCACAATATGGCTAGAAAAAGAGTGTATGTGGAAAAGTATGGCCTTCTTTCTGACAAGAAACCATGTTAGATATCTCTCTACATTCTTCCTACCTGCTCTTATATGGTTCAAAGATGCCAACATCCTTAACATGAAGGAAGCTGGAACAGTGATTGTGTTTCTGGTTTCTTCCAGCATTAATTCATTTCGAGTTATCACCTACACAGTGAGATGGAGAATAAAGTAGTTACTGAGCGAAAACTTAACAGACCACACATTTCCTTTCTGCACCAAAAAAATGAAACAACCCCCCCCTCAAAAAAACCCAACAGTAGCTTCTGACAGGGGTCTAAAAAAGATGCATGTAGGCATGGACCATGGATAGGCTGGTTCATGTTGGCCTGTCCATCATGTAATCCCCAAGAAAGCAAATGAGCCTGTCCCCAGAGCAGACCAAACTGTGGGACAAATCCCCATCAAATTACACTCTGAAATTTCTTTCTAATTTCTTTCTCTTACACATAAATAGATATTAATGGTACAGACGTACATAGTATTACAGTGAACCCTTGACTTACAGACGGCTTGACTTACAGACTTTTTGAGTTACAGACTTCTCTGGCCGCAAAATTTAGGTTTGACTTGCAGCCTGAGAATTGACTTACAGACCAGAAAAAAACCAAAATGGAACAAAAACGGCCTATTACGGGATTAATCGGTTTTCAATGCACTGTAAGTCAATGGAGACTTGACCTACAGACTTTTTGACTTGAGAACCGCCTTCCAATACGGATTAAGTTCTCAAGTCAAGACCCCACTGTAACTTCCTCAAAGTGATATAAATAGTATCACAGTAATTATCAGGAAAGAAAGAAACATATTGGGAAAGAAACTTCTATAATTAGGAGCATTATTAATGCAAAAGGCTACCTTACCTCATCAGCAAGTTTCCGATTAAAAATCTTGGACTCTTCTAAAGGTGACCAGATTTTTATATCATAATCAATACCTGATGAGGCTAGAACTAAAGAATTGTTTTAAAATGTGTTAGAAAACTGTTTCAAAACAAAGATTTACATTTATAAATGCAAAAAGTATTTCATGATTGATACACCTTGTTACATCCCCTCAATTTATTTTCATTTTTAATCTCACTCCTATTTTAATTAAGAACTTCCAACCCCTTATTCTGTAATCCTAAATGTGTAATTATTGAAATGTGCATATTTTATAAAGTGCAGTTCAAATAAAGGAGAATACTACTTATAACATTCTTCAAGTAATATTCTTTATGTGGCAAAAGATGTCTTTAATGTGTGTCAGAAAATTAAACAGGTATTTTATATATTCTGGGTTTGTTTTTAATGCTATCTTCTAATTGACACAAAGAAATGTATAACAAAGGAAACAAAACAGAACAGAACAGAACAAAACACAAAGTTATGTGGCAGCTTTAAGAGTCAGAGATATATTTCACTGTGAGCTTGAATAGATTCCAATCCAGTTTTTCAAACATATAGAATACTGCCATCAGGCTATGGACTTGTATATATACATAGTGCAAATTTGTGGCCTATATATTAAGACTTATGTGTCTGAGGAAGTAGACTGTATTCCACAAACGTTCATACTACGTATCTTAAAACAGCAACAAGTTTTTAGCTGTAATCCTGTCAGTTGTAACTGTTTCTGTGGAAGGGTGGGTGATGACATGATCAGCTGGAAGATAATTTTGGTAATTAAAGATTTTCCCCTTCTCTCCTGTGGCTTGTCTGATTTGCAAATACTGTAATCTGTTTCATCTATGGAAGCTTGGAATTCATGTGGAATTCTTTTGTTACTGAAAATCACCATCACCAAATAGTGTTAGCAGGGGGAGACTTTGAGCAAGTAAAGACTTACTCCTTCCATCTCACAGCTTCAACATGATGAAACAGAGAGAGGAGGGGGAACTCTATAATTACCTACAATTGCACCCCACTGGTAACATTATAACTCTCCTGCAGGTCCAGTTATGGCAACAGGATTTCAGCCTTTGTATTTTATTTTGTTTTTGTTACACATGGTGAAAAAGACTATGTGGTGTCAAATCACTTCTGATATGTCCTTCCTATGAATTAATGATCTCAGAAAAGGTCTATCATGAACTACCCTGCTCAGATGTTGCAAACTAAAGGTCACATCTTCCTTTAGTTAGTTAGTCAATCCATCTCTCTCTCTTCTTTTCCTAATGCCTTCCACTTCTTCTAGCATTACTGTCCTATCCAGTAAGCCCTGCCTTCTCATGATGTATGCAAAGTACATAACAGCATAATAGCATGAGTTTTAGCTTCTAGCAGGAATGGAGACTTAGTTTGATCTAGAAATCATTTGTGTTTCTGGCAGCCCATGGCATATGTAACAAATAAATTATATGATCTCACAGGTTACTTCCAATTCTGTGATTCTGTAGTATCAAGTATTGCTGTGTCAGATCTCCAAAGCAAGTAAGATAATATTTCTACATATATAATGTTTGGGGTAGAAAGTGGGGAGCCAGCACATATACATATATCTCCAGGGAATCTTTACTATTATTTCTATCTTTTTCCTTTCTTAACAAGAGTTATTTCTGATCAGACAAGTTGGTGACCACCTATTAGCATACTATGCAAAAAGTAGAAAACCCTTCACAATCCAAGAGATTTTTTAAAAATGCCTATTATTTTGGTGGAACATGCATAAAGCATCAATCTTTAAGAATTCCCTTATAAGCTATAGACGAGCATGTGTATATAGACAGAAACAACCTTACTTGGATCATATGGGTGTGGCTGTAGACAATTTACTACATGATTATCTGCTTCCAGCAGCATTAAGTGCTCAGCTGTGTGCCGGTCCCAAATGAAGATATGTCCACAATCTGAACCACTCATAACAAAGTTGGAACCCCAGAAATTGGCTTCTTTTATCTACAAGGAAAATATATTGGGGTGGGGAAGAGATTCAAGTGGATTTTACTATGGCTAGCATTCATAGCTAAGAAACTATTGACAAAACATATTAATTCTGGTTGCATTTAGACAAAAAGCTACGCTACAGTTTAGCACTGTGCAAATGAATATCAAACTGATGAGATCCCTGCTCTACCTCCAGCATAGTCATGAGTAGGATAATGGAAGTTTTCATTTCCATCTTTTACTAATCACCGTTAATTATAGTTAAGCAAACATCTTTCAATTTCAAAGCATTGTTTATGAAGCTAGCTTGTTTTAAGAACACAAATCAGCTTAACTTTAGGAACTAGACAGACACTTCCAATCTGCAGCTTAGAGGGAGCATTGGTCTTTAATGTACTTATGAGAAAGGAATATAGGGAAAAGTATGATTAATTTAATGATTTTGGTGCAAGGTAGATAGATTGTGTTTAACACATGCACATTCATTAAAAAAGGGGGAAATTGTAAGCAGAGCACTGTCATGACACATAGTCAGGGGCTTAAAATATACAGCTCTAAAACCTTTGCAAGTATATGCGTTATTTCAGCTCTCCCCCCCCTCCCCGAAGATCTATTAACTACTTTAAAGAGTATTAGACTGTGGTATAATTTATGTGCTCTAGTGACTAAATATCACAATATGTCAAATGACCAAAGTTGAGTTATGTCACATAAGAGTCATTTCACAAAATGGCAAAATTAAGTTTGAAATCAGTCTTAGGTGTAATTTTACTCTGTCATGTTTCAAAGTTTTGGAAAACATGGGACTTTGTCCCCTTTTTCAAATGATTTCTTAAACAGAAATAAACATAATAGAACATATCCTACCCCTTCATATGGTGAGAAAACTAAAACCTTCATTTTTATCATGTCAAACCTGCTTACTCCCTAAATGTACTGCAGGGTCTGTATGCAGACCTATGGAATCCTGACTGGCAATGATAGAGCTTTCTGAGCAGGAATATTCCTTGCATTTCTGCAATATCCACTGCTTTCATAGACTTTATAAGCTTTATACACTTGACCCCAAGCCAACTACCACTGTAGGTATCTACCATGCTTTTGATTTCCTCATATCAGTGTTGCCAGAACTGTGCCTACCATATTCAAATAAAATTTTCCCCAAGTAATTCTGTCTAAAGGAGACCAGCGTAACACATGTTTAGTATAAACCAGCATATGACCTTAGCAACAAACAATGTACCATTGTCCGGGAGTTCCGATGACCTTTATAGACCATTTTTATGAGAGGACGCCTGATATTCAGTGTTTCCAATTCCTCCATCTCTTTTCTCTCTTTTCTTCTCCTGAAAAGTTCCTGGATGCGAGCAACAGCGGATCTTCTATGGATTATAAACAAAAAGACCATAATTGTTGGCAAGGTACACAATCACCTGATTTAAAGTCCTGTGTACAGTTAGCCTGTTTAATTCCCATTGAAATTATTAGGACTTAAGAAGTTCAAGTGCACATAAGCATTACAGACACACAGCCTACTATTTCTGTTTTTTGTATACAGTGGTGCCTCGACTTAACGACCATCCTTACTTCCAACCATTTCGAGTTACGACCAGCTCCAGCCGCAAAATTTTGCATAGACTTGTGGCTGGAGATTCCACTTAAGACCAGGAAAAGGCAGGGGGGAAAGGTGAGGAATAGCTAACCATTGGTGGCGAAGAGGCTGCTTCTCTTTTGCCCGAAGGGTTAGAGCAGGGGTCAGGAAATTTTTTAACTTTTATAGTACAGTAATGTACAATACTGGGAAAGGGATGCAGTGGTAGGGGGAGGCGGCGGCAGGGCCACTACCACTGCTGGGCCCTGGTCCTCGGCCTTGGTGCAGGGGCAGAGGGGGCCCTGATCCTGGCTCCTGGAGGAAGGGTCCTCCCACGCCGCCGCCTCCTTCCTGGCGGGCTGCGCTCAATCCTTGGCACAGCGGGGGCTGCTCCCCTTCTCTGTTGGCAGGCAGCTCTTGGGCTGCTTGTCGGGGCTCCTCGCTGCCCTCCGCAGGCATACCAGGTCCCAGTCCTTGGCAGGCAGTGGAGGGGGCCCTGATGCTGGCTTCCCTTCTCCTCCGGCTGCTCGCCCCGGCCTCATCCTCCACAGCTGTTGCGGTGCTTCAACGGCGGCTGCCCCGATGAGCAGCTCAGGAACTACCCCCTCTGCCTGTACCAAGGACCAGGATCCAGCAGCGGCGGTGGCATCAGCCCTGCAGAAGGCGGTGAGGAGCCCCAACAAGCAGCTACCGGAGCCCCAGGATCCAGCAGTGGCGGTGGCATCAGCCCTGCAGAGGGCGGCGAGGAGCCCCAACAAGCAGCTACCGGAGCCAGACCGCCATCGTGGCCGCGCCCACACCCCGCTGGAAGGAGAGGCTCCTCCTGGCCAGGACCTCCAGCTGCTCACCCTGGCCTTGCCCTCCGCTATGGCTGGCCCTGCTACCGCCGCCTTGGCTGCAGCTGGGAATGAGTGCCATTGGAGGACGCTTTGAACTGCCTGGTAAGGTAAGGTGCTGCTTTCTGCTTTTTAAAAAACTGTTCTGGGTGAGTTTTGCAATGTGGTTTTGGGCTGGGGGGTTATGTTTCTGTGTTGTGGTGGGTCTTGGGTGGTTTGTTTGCTTTTTTGGGTTTTTCCCAATTTCCGATGGGTCTTTGGGGGTTTGTTTGCTTTTTGGAGTTTTTCCCCCTATTTCTGATGGGCCTTGGGGGGGTTTGTTTGCTCCCCCCCACTCATGCATTCCTATGGGAAATGATGCTTCGACATATGACCATTTCGAGCTATGTCCATCTTCTGGAACGGATTATGGTCGTAAGTTGAGGCACCACTGTATTATAAAGTAGTTGATTTTACTCTATCTCTCATCCTCCCAATCTCTTGTTTCTTTAAAGAAGAAATATCACAGGGCTTGCCTCTGAAGATAAAGGCTGTAGAAGTTTCCTTTTAAATCACATATATAGTGCCAACAGCTGATTCCATAAGCACTGTCATGTGCCCACAAACGTCAAAGGGTTTCAAATATTTGTTGTTTTTTCAAGCAAATGACAGTTGCAAGACACATGCAGAGTATGCCATCCTGACAGCACAGAGAAGAGCCTCTGCTGTATTTAAATTGTTTTGCACTAGAGTGGGCTACTATATGCCAGCTGTCTTAAAGCTGTTTGAGTTAAGTCATTTAATTAGCTTCAATGGAAAGCTCATCTGGACCCCTATTCCCTTCTCCTCCTCCTTAAAATTAGTTCAGTCTAAATTCCTGAGAACTATCCTATAAGAATGGGACGTGGTGGCACTGCGGGTTAAACCGCAGAAACCTCCGTGCTGCAAGGTCAGAAGACCAGCAGTTGTAAGATCGAATCCACGTGACAGAGTGAGCTCCCATCGCTTGTCGCAGCTCCTGCCAACCTAGCAGTTCAAAAGCATGTAAATGCAAGTAGATAAATAGGGACCACCTTGGTGGGAAGGTAATGGCGTTCTGTGTCTAGTCGTGCTAGCCACGTGACCACGGAAACTGTCTTCGGACAAACGCTGGCTCTACAGCTTGGAGACCGGGATGAGCACCATGCCCTAGAGTCGGACACGACTGGACTAAATGTCAAGGGGAACCTTTACCTATTCTATAAGAACTTCACTGTGCCCCAGACATAACTCTCTGACTAGATGTGAATTCTTGAAAGCTGAATCCAGGACTTTGTTAGTGTTTTTCAATTTCTGTCTGAAGCTAATCTTTTCCCCAATTGTCCTAGCTCTCTTAATCCTGCAGAATGACTACCAGTCAGGCCAAAAGCAATCTTTGTGAAATTCCAGCAGTGTGGATTTTTCACAAGCTACTTTATCCCTTTGGGAAATGAAACAGTCAGAACTTTTCACAGGTAATGTACACTAGATGATGAACATCCACACAACCTAAGATCAATTTGCAATAATACTCTGACAGAGCTGTTTTGCTCTATAAACTAAAGAACTACTTCTACACACTTTCTGATTCACGAGAGGACACTTACTCTGGCTCATTTGCATACTCACCCATTTGAAGTTTTGGAAGAATGGTTCAAAAATAAAAATCCCTACTTTCAACATGTGTCTTTGTGACTCTGGAGAGGTAGAACTGATACGTAGAGGTGCCGTGTGGTGTAGTTGATAGAGTGAAGGACTAGCACGCAGGAGGCCTGGGTTTAAATCGCCACTTAGCCATGGAAACTCACAGGGGCATGGAACTGGTGAAACCACTCTTTAAATACCGCTCTCACCACATTGAAAGCCTTATTAGGGTCATTATAGGTTGGCTCCAACTTGATGACACGTAACAACAGAGCTGATAACCTCCAACCTGATGACACGTAACAACAGAGCTGATAACTCACATTGTGTATATGAGGGGAAATTACTACATCTCTGGTTCACTGAAATTTTCTGGATGAGCAGATAAATTCTATGTTTCCTGTTTTCTATCAGACTGGAATGCAGCTACTTCCTTCTATGTAACAAAATTTTGCAATGAAGGAACCAAAATCTTCCAGAGAATTCTTTTACTAAACCCATAACTTACATTCTTGCACCTTCAGTGTGAAACATCAATTAGTAATTAAGTTGTCACAGTATTTTATTCTATTTTTCTGCTATCTTAAACTAGCTAGTATTTTGTGTATTTGTTTTGTAACTACTAGTCACTGAGTACAATATTAATTGACTGATTATCCAACGATACCCTTTTTAGATTAAAATAATTTTATTGATTATCTAGAAAACCTGTTTTGATGATTATAGATCTCCATCTATATGCAGAACATTTTACAATGATTGAGAGACACTGAACAGACATCTTGGAGTAAATCTCCAGGTGATACGATAATGATCAGTAAAGATTTCTAACTACTAATAGTTTACCTATGATAACAAAACGTTTTCGTACACCTAATTACACAGATGAAATTAGGAAAGCTAGAAGGGATAACCAGGTGTAGTTTTTGTGTGTAATCATTTCAGTTATATACACTGAATTTTAATAGTAAAATGTACTTGAGAGGCTGTTTCGAAAGCTTCATGGAAAGGGGGCTTAGGAGGCATCTGACTGTTAGGAATTTTCTCACAAAGTTATTGTGGGAGGGTGTTCCAAGCATAAGAGGCAATAATACAGAAATGACATATAGATATAGATAAGGAAGTACACTATCACAGTGAAGAACAGAGATGACAAGGTCCTCCACTACAGTCTTAGCCAAAGTTTTTTAAAAAAAGAATTTGATTTATTTTTAACAAATTGAATTCTTAAAAAAAAGAAGCAGCAGCAGCTCTGGTTTATAAATGTGGGATAATGCTCTTCTGTATCCATGATTCAAAATGCTAGGAAATGACCCAATATTGCTGCACAATATTGTGCCTGTGTTGGTAGCAGGAAAAAGGATGGCAAGCTTTACACAGTAAACTTTACACAGCAAAGGGCAGCCTGAATATTGACAACACCAATGACAGAAGTCAAGATGCTCTATAATGGCTTCCAATCTTGGGTGGCTCCCAATCTTGGCTAATCCAGTAACCCCTGCAACTCTGAAACCTTCATTACCAGCCGTCCGGGCTGGGCTTGCTAGGAGTTACAGTCCAAGAACACCTGGGTTACCAAGGTTGGGAACCACTAGTCTACAGGATACCCTCTTGTGCTCATACCATTCACAAAGTGACACTAAGCAATAAAAAAATTCCAGAAGCTCCTTTTTTTCCCATCAGTTCCTTGTTTCTGTGTGTGGGGGGGTTGCTTTTTAAAACTTTGTAACTTGAAAACCCTGAATGTTGACAACACCAATGACCGCAGTCAAGATGGTCTATAGCAGTGGTCCCCAACCTTGGGCCTCCAGATGTTCTTAAAGTGACACTAAGCAATAAAAAAATTCCAGAAGCTCCTTTTTTTCCCATCAGTTCCTTGTTTCTGTGTGTGGGGGGGTTGCTTTTTAAAACTTTGTAACTTGAAAACCCTGAATGTTGACACCACCAGGATACCCTCTTTTGCTCACTATCATTCACCATTGCTCACTTATAATTCACTGTTGAAAAACAGCCCTGACAATTGCTTTGTGTTTGGGTGAGAAGTATTCAACTGATGAATAACAGTCAGCTTCTTGGATTTTCCTTTGCTTCATGCACTTTGTGAATGGTAGTGAGAATAAGAGGGTATCCTGCAAACCATCTTATAATAAACGTAGAACTGCAGAGGTAGAAGGGACCCTATGAATTATCGAATCCAACCCCTGTCAAGGAGGACCAGTGAAGAAGTGAACTCCCAACCACTGGCTCCACGGCCAGATACCTAAACCATTGCACTATCCAGCAACTGTGCTTTTGTAATGCAGAAATACTTTGAATATGCCCTACAAAACTGTATGCTATTTCTCTGGAGATACATGGCAAAATGTCCCTTTCTGGAAGACTGTCACTCCATTACTTTTGTTAAAAAGCCTGGGTTTTTTCCCCAACTCTTTAAACAAGACCTGTTTTTTTACTCTGTTTCCCTGACCTTTCATTGTCTTACAAGCTTTCCCCATGAAGTTGCAACATTATATTTAATTTGGACTGCTCTTGCTAATACCCTATTTCCCTTCATTGTTTTTAAATTTGTAAACTGCCCAGAGTACCTTTGGTTTAGATGGGTGGGATAGAAATCCAATAAATAATAATAAATTCCTCTAAAATAAGACCTAACCTGAAAATAAGCCTAGTATGATTTTTCAGGATGCTCATAATAAAATCCCTACCCCAAAAATCAGCCCATTAAGTGAAACCCCACCCTCCACAATTGTGCAGCAACCAGAAGAAGATGACATGACTGTACAGTGGTGCCTTGCTTTACGCTTGCCCCACATTACGACAAAAGCGCATTACGACGATCTTTTTGCGATCGCAAATGCGATCGTAAAACAATGGTCTGAATAGGTTTTTTTCACTTTGCGATGATCAGTTCCCTGCTTTGGGAACCGATTCTTCGCAAAATGACGATTTTCCTCCAGCTGATCGGCAGTTTCAAAATGGTGGCCAGGTAAATAAAATGGCTCCCCACTGTTTTCTGGGACGGATTACTCGCAAGACAGCCACCGAAAATGGCTGCCCTATGGAGGATCTTCGCTGGACAGTGAGTTTCCAGCCCATTGGAACGCATTGAAGGGGTTTCAATGGGTTTTCGATGGGCTTTTTATTTTCACATTACGGCGTTTTCGTTCTACGGCGTTTTCGTTGGAATGACTTAACATCGTAATGCGAAGCACCACTGTACTTGGATAAATGTAGATTGTTGTACATGAAAAAAATAAAACATCCCCTGAAAATAAGCCCTAATGCATTTTTGGAGCAAAAATTAATATAAGACCCCATCTTATTTTGGGGGGAACATGGTAAGCCTGTTTCCTTGTATCCTCAGTTTATTACAAAGTCAGTTTTTCCCTTCGAATGTCCTTCACTGAGAATCAATATCTCACTCTTGCAACCTGGATTCTTACCAAATAAAATGAGCAGGTGGGGTCAACCATACTCTTTCAAGATAAGCAAGATTAGTCTTTTCAGTTTTTATTAACTATTTAAAATCTGGGGATGTTTAGGGTTGCTTATTTCTGCAGGGGGTAAGTGTTAAAAAACTGTAACTCTAAATTCCTTGCTCCAAACTTCCTCAAATTTGGCAAAGACCAAGAGCAGACTGGCTGCTACACCTGTGCCAAACTCAAAGACCAGTTTCAAAGTTATATTTGTTTGGGCTGTTCCTGTTTCTAGAATTGCCTTGTAGGATGTTGAATTGTTCTGCTGCACAATAACATATCAACTTTAATTACACCCAGGAGAAGAGAACTCTAAATCAACTATAATTACACCCAGGAGAAGAGAACTCTAAATGTGTGAAGAAACTGTATAGAACACCGTTCCATATAGGCCACTCCTGCAGAGTTAGCATATAGATACTATACTCTTACAGAACCTATATGTACACAAATCACTTCAGAAGTAAATCCCACTGCATTTACACATCTGTGATAAATGAGTACTGGACTTCAGTCTCAGGTATGCAGAGTCCAAGCAATTTAAAAATTATCACACTAGAAGACAATATGTATAGAAAGTTCAAAATTATAGTAGACAATTATGCAAATCTAGTAGGAGAAATAAAAGTACTGCCCTCAAGCTAGGAAAATGCATTGCGGCATAATGCAAACAACCAGCCACAGCTGTAGCGCCAGAAGTAGTCAGCAGTGAAATGAAAGAGCAATCTGTAATGCCTATTGTGAATGCAGAATGCCAGCAAGGCATTGATGAGATTTGAGTAGCCATGCCTACAAGGATTCAAAGATTCTGTTCAAGCAAAAGTAGAAAAGACAGCACAGTACTAACCTGTGGCCTACACCTCCACGAAACCGTGCACCAGGTATCAGGACAGGGTCATCATCACTATCATCTGTTTCTTGGAAAGCAGAAGTCCTTGTGGATGATTCTTCATGAGAAGCAAGCCCTGAGGAATCTGGCTGGGACTGAGGTTCAAGATTTGTATTATTTGGGTTAGCAGCTGACTCTGTCCTTTGCTGACTCAAGCTTTCTTGCTTTTCCATGTCCTTGCTCAATGCATCATTCCCTAGATTCTGGCAGGGTAAGTCAAGATGAGGATCACTTCCTTGTTCCATACTACTTTCAGGTTGGTCAGACACACTGGTATCTGAAATTTTGGAAGGGGTAGCTGTATTAGCCACTTGCAACAAAAACAATGAAGAATCTTCTGGAGCCTGAAAAACACTTTTTATTTAGCATAAGTTTTTGTGGACTGCAGCCTGTTTCTTCACATATATAGAATGCACCCTCATGAAACACACATATACATACATGGAGGAGGGCCTTGAAATGCAACTGATACTAAGTGCAACAAATAATGACATTTGGTTAATTACTACACAACATTTACAATGTATCTAAAATGTCATTAAAACCAGACAGAGAAAATAGGAGAGATTATATCATTACTGTCTCTGTGTGGAAAACCAGCAATAAATATTGCTAAAAATAAGTATCTGCAGAAGAGTTTAGTCTTGTCATGGTGATTTATAAACCTCATTTCTACAAATACACTCTGCTCACAAAAATTCACAGACCCTATGAATAGAATACCATAATAACCACAGACAGAAATTACCACTACAAGAAAACAGTGACAGATCTGTAATAAAACTAAGAATGAACCAAAGTAGGCCTGTGTGGAAGGTTTCCTACCTGTTCTGTACCCAAATAAAGGGCATAAAGATTGGGGCTCACCAACCTGTACCTTTCAGGAACTGTTCCAACCCATTCAGTCACCACCATGCCATTATGTGTGCATTTTCGGGACGTCCATTAAAAAAATCCCATGCATATGGGGAAATGCAAACTGCCATGATCTTAGGGAGCTAGGCAGCTCTGTATATTTGGGGGCCAGCATGCTATGGAAAATTTATACTGGCACAAATGAAGCTGCATAAACTGCAGTAGCAAACTGCCACTAATCAATGAGGTATTACGTCTGAGGTTCACTCTCCTCCAAAGTTACATTTGCACTTGAATTAGGAAAGAAAGAATGAGCTACACCTTCACTGCTCACCTCCCTCCAGTCCTAGATCCTGCATAGGTAAACTCTAGTTCCTAAAGTCACTTCTCCAAAGCCCAAGCACTCCTTCTCTGGTTCCCACCATTCTGCAGATCCTGTTCAAGGAAAGCTGCTGTTGGAAGAGCCACTGCTCTCCCCTTGAGAGCAAGGCAATCCGAGGCAATCCTTCCTGACTGGTTCTCACCTTTTCCTGGATCCTATCCAGCTGTAAGCTTCCAGCTGTCAAGTAGGACTGGATCCTCTGAAAGGAAAACATCTGTCTACTAGTAAAACATCTTCTCTTTCCATCCCCACAGTGAGCCATTCCTCTACTGCATGACTAGCACTCAAGCCCTGAAGGGTTTAAAGTCTGCAAAGTATAGGATCTTGCTTCTGCAGTCACTCACACACACTACAAACCCAGGAGGCTGCTATAAAACCAACAAGGCCAAGACAGATGCTTCTCCTTGTCTTCCAAAACCAAAACAAACATGACAGACCTTCCTGTAGGACAGCAAGGAAAAGGCACAGTGGTGCAGACAAGTATGTCAGTCTGCGCTTGAACAAGATTCAAGGAAGAATGTGTGCAAAAGATCTCATGAACTGTCTTTTAAAATGCACGTACAGTGGTGCCTCACAAGACAAATGCCGGTCTGCGCTCGAACAAGATTCAAGGAAGAATGTGTTCAAAAGAGTTCATGAACTGTCTTTTAAAATGCACATACAGTGGTGCCTCACAAGACAAATGCCTCGCAGGGCAAAAAACTCGCAAGACAAATGGTTTTGGCAATTCGGTTTGTGTGTGCTTGTTGTTGACTCGCAAGACAAATGTTCCTATGGCCATGCTTTGAAAGAAGAATGTTTTCTGTTTTTTGTTCCTCCCTCATGTTTGTTGATTTTTAAATGTTTTTCTATGATGTTTAAAAAGTTAACGTTTTTTGATTGAAATTTTTAAAATCATCGGCACAATATGTATGGCTTTAAAGAGCATTTAATAAACCCTTTGCAAACCAAATTTGACTTTGTTTTGACCCATAGGAACACATTAATTAGATTTCAATGCATTCCTATGGGAAAACACGTTTCTTAAGATGAATTTTTCGCAAGACAACATTAACTGCGGAACGAATTAAATTCATCTTGCGAGGCACCACTGTATGTTCTAAAGAGGGAAGTTTGCCAACACAACACTGAGAGGCTTGTGTGAATCACAGCAAGCTGAAATGAAGTCCACAGACTGGGAAGGGTCCTATATTGACAATACTGAGGACATCAACCAGAGGAACTGCACGATAATAACAAATCCAGTCTCTTCTCCAAGTACCTTTTCTGAGAGAGAAAAAAGGAGTAAACAGGTATGATTGGAGCAGGTTTTTCTCAGTCTAAACAGGTATTTCCATAACCTAAATTATGCAAGAGCTAAGGATGTGTACCAGACCGACAAGATAATCACAAAGGCCTGCATATTAGAGGCTGACTGGGGACACTGCCCCATCAATATTTTGAAGTGTATGAATTTCTGATGTCACTGTGGTGTGTCTGTCATCTTCCTCCTCTTAATCTGTGACTGCCTGGTGTGCCTCACCATGCAGAAGATGGGAAATGCCTCACTTATAGCAACAAGAAAAGAGCAATGCCCAGCAGGCAAATGTCAGCGAGAGAGAGACAGAAGATGATAGGTGGGCAGGAGAGTGATCAAACTGCCAAAGAAGCTGTAAGGTGGCAGGCAGGTTGGATTGTTTGTATAGAAGATGGCATTGCTTAGATTCTTGCCCTTTAATTTCATAGTGGCTGGACATATCAGGAATCATTAACTGCAGCAACATCAGGTATACATTGATTAGTTGAGGCTTAAGCTGAAGGGCAGGAAGGCAGGCCAGGCAGGAAATACATTAGGAAAGAAGCCAGCAGACCAGTGGATTTGTCTGCAATGAAGCTGGGCTGCGGACATTGTTCTGTTCTCATCTTTTAGTTTCATAATGGCCTGGCATATCAAGTATAAACTACTATGGGAATAGCAGGATGTGCCAGTTTAGACATGTCAAGATAGGAGAAGGCACCATCAGTCAGACCCTGGGAAACCACTGAAGCTAGGAAGCAGGCATCAAGCTGTCACTGAGCAGATTTTTCTCAGACCATTGTCATGAGGCAATGTTAACCTTGAGTTATCTGAGCAAAATGATACTGGCTTTAGGAAAATGAACTGCTCCACAAAGTTGGGTTCTGAGAAAGAGAGGTAGTAGCATCATCCTGGCCTTGATACCCACTGTTTCTCCCAGAGTCATATCCCAAAAGAAATTCTTGTCACATTTGAGGCACTCAAAACCTAACACCTCAGTGGTTGAAGCATCCAGGATTCATCTGTCACTGTTCTTCATTTTGTGGCCAGCTACTCTGTCTATGGTATTATTTCCAATTTCCACTCTCTTCAATTCAAACTGTTAACCATCTTCCCAATCATATGAATGCCAAAGAAAACAAGGCTCTGTTTTAGTGTTGTTCTACCTATTCCATGCTGTAGTCACCCCCAAATCAAAAAATTATCCCTATTTGGTCCATTTTTGCACATTTCCCTGAATATAGGTACATGTCTGAACTGAAGTATTGTGGCATCTTTAAGACTAACAATTTTATTTCAATGTGAGCTTTAATGGATTATTATCTACTTTTTCAAAGACATAAATTTACAACAGCTAAATTAAAACTTTTCAAAATATCACAAACTGTACCAATAAATCATAGGTAATAATATCCTTTACCTACCAGTAACAAGAACAATTCATGCAGCAGTTTACTTTTAGATTTAAAAAGCTAGAGTTCTTTGCTTCTTTGTATAAACATGCAGTCATTACTACTGTACATACCAGAGCATGATGTTCCAGTGTTTTCATTTGTAGATGTTAGCTCCTCAATATTTTCCTCTTGTGATTCCTCAGGGAGTCCTAAAATTATTTAAAATTGCTTATTATAGCATTAAAGTATTATAAAAATACTGCAAATGGGTATGAGCCATGCCTACAGTTTGTAGCAACATTCTGTAACTGCTATCATGAGACTTTAGTATGTCTTCTAGATGGAGTACATTTTACAGGATAAGTAGGAAATACAGCTAGACCTGATGCAATATGAAACATTTGATTGATCAAGTCAGGAATGATTCACATGTAAACTGAGGACAGAAAAAGGTTGTTCCATTGCAACTCCTTTTTTTAGTTTATAAATTCCAGCTCTGTATGCAAACTACATCAGTACAGCATATTTTGTGAATGGCTATTACGTGAGTTCAACTGCAATATTACAAATACAGTAAGAAATACTATAACCCAGTGGTTCCCAGTGTTGGGTAACCCAGGTGTTCTTGGATTGCAAATCTCAGAAGACTGTACAACTACCTGTGCTGGCCAGAGTTTCTGGGAGTTGCATGCCAAGAACACCTAGGCTACCCAAATATGGGAACCACTGCTATAACCTAATACAGACATCCACCATCTTATTTACATACCTGCTGTAATATGTTTTCAATTATTGCCAATCTTTTGTAGGAATACCATTTACACAGTTTGTACACATTTCTAATTTGAGTACAGTAGGACCCCCATATCCATGGTATCAGTATCCAGTTTCACTTAGCCATGGTCTGAAAATATTAAAGGTATTAAAAGAAAAAGAATAAGAAAAAAAATATTTTCACATGTGTTACTACAACAGGCCACCAGATAGAGCCAGATGCCGTGTTATGAATACTTGTTACTGGAGAAGACATAGCATGGTTCCTGGCACCCTCTAGTGGCCAGTACTGGTAATGCATGTGAAAATAATTTTTTCCATGTTCTCTCTCTCTCTCTCTCATGTTTGCTATTACCCACAGCTTTCAGCATACACAGGGGTACATGGAAGAAAATTCCCAGCGTATATAGGGGTCCTACTGTTATATTAATAAATATTTAAAAACATGGCAGACTTGTTAGTATAAGAGTTCATATAAAAATATGAATGTAAGGCATTTGATGTTTGATACAGGACTTTAGACTTACAATTGGGTACTAAAGCCAACATACAAAGAACTTTGAAAACTGTTACATATTTTTCTGTTGTTTTTCCTTAAAAAGTAACATCCACATGAGATCCACTTTTGAATCTGAACATATTTTTAAAAGCAGATTGTAAAAGAAACAAAATCAGCAATATGTCTGAGTTAGCAGAAGTCTCTTATATGAGCCCAAAGCTTGTGGTCACCTAGCTTGAACATTTATATTTAATTTGTGCATGTCAAGTCAGAAAATCTTATTATTCACATTGCACATAGTTTAATTATAACATATAGCTGTCATGATATAAAGGTAGAATATTGACCTTGGAATAATAGCAATAACTTCATCTCTTACTTGATTCTTCACTCTCTGGTGTTGGTGCTTCTGAACTCTGGGATCTTAGGGATTCTTCTTGACCTTCAGGTTTACTGTGATTTCCACTCCCTCTGGAACTTGAAGCTGTGCTGCTCCTAACAGAAGAACATGTGATAGATGTATGCATTTATTTGAATTTTTTAATCTCTCCCTTTACAAAAGGAAGCTTGTAATAAATACAAAACTACTCAATTTCTCGTTAAAAACCAAAACTAGGATCAGTGCATAACACAGCAAAAAAATAAATAAATACAATTACGAATTCAAATCTCAATTAAAACACGGGAAAACAACAACGGTTTCAACCCATTTTTAAATAAGAGCCAAGCCTCCCTAGATACCACCTTCAGCATCCTTGGACTCTACCTACTGTATCTGACAAACAGGATACCTTTTTCAGTTTTTTTTAAAAAGGCTCATATGGAGAAAGTGGGTACCCCAGACTCGAGCTATGAAGAGCTGAAAAGATAAATACCATCACTTTAAATTGAACCCAGAAACAGACCATGAGTTACATTTATCTGGGCATAAGGCTCAAGAAATACGGTAGATGTTATTTCTGAGTAAACATGTACAGAATTGTCCTCTAAATTCTGTATTTATAAACAAACACAGATATCTATAGTCAGTTATTTTGTTTGTGGGCTTGTTTTGTTTGTTTTTAACTGTAACAATCCATTGACTGATGCTGCTTATTTATTCACTGTTGCTTGAAAATGCAATCTCACATTTCAATCCATATTGCAATAGTAGCATTAATAAATATAAAAATTACAATGTAAGCCCACTAATAACAGGAATTTAGTTGTAAGGAAAATCATGATTTCACAAGATGGCATGCTTGTTAAAATTAACTATCCCGATAAATACAATAAAATTATAATTAAAGGCCTTCTCCCATTTTTAACGTGTTTGTTCTGATATTTTAAAGGATACTGTGGAAATAGGATATATTTTCAACAGTGCCTAAAACCTATGTAACCATCCATGCCTTTTAATGCTGTATTTCTTTTCTAATGAAGTTATTATTAAAGCACAACATAGAAAAACTACAATCAATACAACAGACATGACTTACACGAGAAAAAGCAGCAAGGTCTTACCATTCATCTGTGAAGTCCAATTTTATCGTGCTTGTGGTTGTCCCTTCCGTACTGTAATGTAAACTTAAAACAGGTTCACCTGTGCCAGGTCGTGGGCTTGACTTTTCATCTTCTGAAAACAAAGTGTTAGTAAATGTAAATATATCACATTATGTAGTGAGATTACTTCATTAAAAGTATAACTCTCGTTCTAGCACAGTCTGTTCAGAAAAAAGCTGTTCAAAGCTCTTGCAGAGTAGGTACTATATGCTACTGTATTTTTTTTTAATTCTTGGATAGAAACAAGCCAACAATAAATGGAGAAGGTGGGGGAGAGGGAATACATCCTCAGAAATGTTATTACATTTCTACAGAACCAGATGGGTGTCACCTATATATAGTTTTGATTTATATTTCCAAAACATGAAAATGCAATATTCAGGAATAATGTTTCCAGTAAATAGGTTTATTTATTTAAACCTGATTTAACTCGTTAAGCTGGACTTAACGAGTGGCTAGCCCCTACGGCTGACCTGTCCACTCACGCATCTGCCAGAGGCGGCAGCCCCACTCATCCTTCCAATTGCTCCGGAATTCCGCTCTCTTCCTGCTCACCTGGCCACTCCAGGCAGTGGGAGGGAGGACGAGTCTCCCTGCATGGCTGCCGAGTTGCTAGCCAAGCAGGGAGAGAGTGGAGCTCTAGGAGTGATTGGAAGGATGGGTGAGGCTACTGGCAGTGGCAGACACATGAGTGGATGGGCAGGCTGCAGGGGCTGGCCCCTCATTAAGTCCAGCTGAGCGGGGATATTCATATTCATATATGAATGCTCCCATCTCTTGCCAAAACCCTGTTGCTTGGTGTAGTAAATCGCTCCTGAGCAGGCCCATTGAATCAATGAGGATTTGGTAAGTCTTTAGCATAGTAAGAAACAGTTAAGAGTAGGTTAATTTGAATCAATGGAATGTTGACTCACCAAATCTCCATGCATTCAATGGAATTATTGTACTGCAATCTACTATGGTAAGCAACAAGATTTTGGCCACTGGCTTCTGGTTTCTTAAAGATTAGTGAGTTTCATTTGGCTTAAATCAAGAAGAACAAAATGACTTCTGACATCTTAAACATTTAACTAATAAAAATGTCATTCAGCGCAAGCTTTCTTAGACTACAGCAAAACATCATCAGATGCAGCCCGCATTAAGAGAAGGGCCACAGTCTATGAAAGGAAAAGCCATATTCTATGATAAAACCAATGTAGTCTCTATTGGCAGCTGAACATACTAGCAGACCTTAATACTATGGGTGGATTCATAAGGAAGATAGTGGTCTTTCAGAAAGTCTGTCCTTCTAGCTTATTTAGGGCTTTATACATAAGAATCAGTACTCTGATATATGCTTACAAACTAGAAGACAGTATAGTTGATGCAGAATTTGAATGTGACCAAAAAAGACATGGTAGAAAGTTATCTAACAATTACATTTTGTGCTAACCACAAAATGCGGTTCTTGAACAATCTTCTATGGTGGCTCCATATATAACATAATTAAAAGTCAAGAGAGCTGTGATTAAGGCATGGATCACTGTGGCCATACCTACCTTCTGCAAGAGGACTCAGAACTGAGACACCAACTGAACCTAGCTAAAACGACTATTTGTAGCTGCCACCTAGCCTTCCAACAACAATGCTATATCCAGAAGCACCCCAGAGAGGTGAACCTGATCCTTCAGAGCAGAAGTGGTCCCCAAGGCAACCCCCATAATCCCCACAACTGCAAACTATAATTTAAATGTCTTTTCGGGGAAAGGATTCACAACATCTTCCTATACCTTCTTAGGGCCTGACTCCCATGTTTTGAGGGCCCTTCAACACCTACTCCCCATTTTTTTAAAAACAGCCAGTAAAGAGACAAGATAGGTTTCAGTAAACTACAATAACAACAAAAATACAAAATACAACATTTTATAAGCATTCTTGGGAAGAGGAGGAGGAATCCCAGATAACTGCAGAACAGTGCCCTCTAAGTAGTATACTGGCCAGGAAGTTCTTTGGCTGTGTGAGAAGCAGTGTACAGTAATAGTCTTTCTGGAGTGGAAGGATCAGGCTGTTGTTCCCAAGGGGACACAGTCCTCATATTCTTTAGGAAGGGTCCAGAAGGAGCTAAAATGCATGGTTAGTTGCTTTCAGGAGGACCATCAAAACCAAGAGAAGTAAATCTGCCTATACTACAATGTTGTGCTCTGCTGCTTTAAGCAGGTTTCTCCCAATCCAATTCATGTAACTGCAGAGATCTGAGAAAACTACTTATCAAGCACTGAAGTGGAAGGGGGAAAAAGAGCAGTGTATGCTTCCTTTCATGTACAAAGCATTCTCACATCCATATTATATGTGATCATGACATCCATGTGGCACATGGTTTCCACCCATGTCCTGTTTGATTTAATGCCTTTGTAATCTTGCTGTCTTAAAACTGTATCTCCCTGCCTGACCAGGTAAAACACACAGTAAGGATTTTATATTTGCAGCAATGCAGTTTATTCAACTTTGTGCAAGCTATAATGTTTAATTTTAAATAAATGAGTAAGCATTTCATTTGAAGTATTCTTGTATCACCCTTCAATGTGTACCTTTCCAAATTAAAAAAAAATATTCTCAGTTAAATTTGTGCAAGACTGTAGAGTTATTATTTTTAAAAAGTCTTGACATAAACAGTAAGGTGCATTGTCTTTTCATTTTTTTTCAAGCAGTTAGTAAGAACAAGCTACTTACCTGTAACGGCGGTTCTTTGAGTGGTCATTCGTAAGTTCACGCATATGGGTTTCTGCTGTGCCTGTGCAGACATTCATTGAGAACATTCCAGAGATTTGCCTTTGCCCCTCCTCCCTAACAGTCATGCTCATCTACCCAATGATTGCTCTGTAGTTCCCCCTACCCACCACCAAAACACAATTGGAACTACTGTAACTGACAGGGGAGGTTGGCTGAATTGTATGAATTCAGAGATGACAACTCGAAGAACCAGTTACAGGTAAGTAACTGTCCTTCTTTGTGGTCTCTGTGATTCACACATAGAGGTGACTCACAAGCTCACTTACCAGTTGGTGGGATGTCTGATCAACACAAAAGATAGCACTGCTTGTTCAAGTCTTGCCCTGACACCTAATCTGTAAAGGTTTACAGAAGTCATGCCCTCAGACATATTGGATTGAGGCCTTGCAAATGTCCTGTAAATGAACCTCCTTCATCAAACTCCTGTTGATGCTGCCACTGTTCTTGTGGAATGTCTCCTCAAAGAGGTTGGCAAGGGATGTCTAGTCAGTTCATAAGGAAGCAAGATTACTTCAATTAACCACCTAGAGAGTCATTGTGACAACAGCTGTATGCCTTTTTTTTCTCCCTTGATAACAGTCTATTACTTTTTCTCAAAGACTTTGCCCTATCTATATAAAAGGGAAAGGCATGCCTAACATCTTAAATATGAAGAGTTCTCTCCATACTTGATGCTGGTGATGGGAAAACAGCTCGAACAATTCAATGGCTGCCTAGTTCAAAACTGTGTAAATATTTCAGTAAAAAAGTAAGATCTGGGACAAGAGTCAGTTGTTCTTTCTGAAACTGTAAATAAAGTTGGTCACAATATAAAGCAGCTAATGCACTAGCTCTTCTTGCTGAAATTATAGTAACTAGAAACACAGTCTTGTATGTTAATAAACTCAAATGGGTTTTGGCCACTGGTTCAAAGGGAGGTCTGGTGAATTAACATCACAGACAGAGACCACTGAGGGGTTGGTCATTTTATATGGAGCAGATATTATTTAAACCCTTTTAAAATCTTTTAACTGTTGGGTTAGTAAACAGTTTTGAGATTCTGAACCTTCAGGCAGTCCCCAATTAAATAAATCTTCAAAGAAGACTGAAAGTCCTTGTTGTTTAACATGTAACCAAAAATGTAAAACACAATGCATGGTATTGGGGAAGTATGATTCATTTATAGAACTAGCATTCTATACATTTCTTTCATTTGTAGTAGCAACATCTGCTAGTAGATTGTTTCCTAGATTCCCTATGTATTCTAGCTATTAAGGGAGAATTCACCATGCTGTTTGTGCAATACATCATGGTAGAATTGTCTGTTATCACCTATACCACATTTCCTACCTCAATGGATTTGAGTGCCTTTAATGCTTTGTTGACTGTTAACATGTCTAGCTGATTAACATGGTGGGTCTTTTCTTGCATAGACCATGGTGCATACATTTCTGTTCCCTGACAATGGCCATCCCAGCTTGTTAGGCTGGCATTTATAGTTATCGAGGTGTTTTGAATGGACTGGTTTTTGTCTGCCACCCACAATGTTGCAATGCAATTCTGCTATTACAGTGGTGCCTTGCTTAGCGATTGCCTCGTTTAACAATGTATTCACTTAGCGATGAAGTTTTTGGAGTGATCTTGCGCTCCGTTTAGCGACGTTTCCAATGGGGAAATTTTGCATAGCGATGTTCGGGCCCTTGCTTCGCTTAGCGATGACAGTTTAGGCCCCCCTGTTTCGCTTAGCGAAGTCCGTTTTCGCTATTTTAAGTGTGTCTTAAAATGTTCAAAAACTGTTTAAAATGCTTGGAATCGTTAGTGCACCCTGTAAAACCTTTACAAACTTAATTTGGCTTTGTTCTGAGTCTTTGTTAATTTTTGGTGAATTTCCCCCCCCCCCATTGGAATGCATTGAACTGTAGGTTTGACAGCTGATGGGCGGGTATTTGCAAAGATCGCGGGGAAGCCAGCTTCACAAACGCCACTCACTCTCTCTCTCCCCTTGCAGGTCCAGCCTGGGCAAGGAGACTGAGGCACCGCACCGCCACGGCCAGGGTGACTGAGTCTCCCTGGCCAGGCTGGAGTTGCGAGGGGGGGGAGAGGGAGAGAGCGAGAGCGCATTTTGGAATCGCCGATCAGCTGTGCTTCGGCGCTCTCTCTCTCTCCCCTTGCAGGTCCAAGGCTCTCTTTCGGGGGGGCTTTGGGATGATCGTGGGGAAGCACTTCCCCACGATCATCGCAAAGCGATTTTCCCCCATTTAAAACATCGCAATGCTATCGCTTTTGTGATCACAAAAACTCCATCGCTATGCGGATTCATCGTTAAACAGGGCGCTCGTTAAGTGAGGCACCACTGTAACTATCTTCACACTCGTCTGAAGTTTTCTCCTTGAATTTGCTACAATTAATGTATTGTAGATACTCATTTCTCTCACTCTCAAAAAGGCTGCCAATAGTGCTATACATCTAGTGAAAACTCTGGGTGTTGTGGAGAGTATGAATGGAAGCACTTTGAATTCGTATATTCCTACTGCAAAATGGAGGAAATGACGACAGTTTGGTCCAATTTATATATGGAAGTAAGTAAACCACTCTCCTTTGAGCAGTGGCATTATATTTGTTAGTATTACCATGAAAAACGTTTGTGGAGAAATGTACTTGTTGACATAAATAAATAAAAATAAATAAATAAAAAATATAATAGATAATGGTGATAAGGTAGATTAGGTAGCAGAAAGAGTTGTAGTTTCTGTAAATTCTCTAAATTAGACACAACCAACAGTACAGTATAAGTCTGTAATCTCCAGAATTCTCCCAGGATGTTACCTCACCAGGAGTTAGAAATAACTGAGGAGTGACCCCTTGGGTGGATGAGCATGTCTGTTAGGAAGGAGAGGCACAAGCCTTGAAGCTCCAGATTGTTCCTGAGGAGTGTCTGAGGAGGCACAAAGGAAACCCATATGTGTGAATCACAGAGATCACAAAGAATTTTGTTCTACTTTCAGTTTCCTCTCATGAAAGGATTTTACACATTTCTATAAACTGAGGAATTTTAAACCCAAATTTACATACTCATGATGGAAAGCAACTGAATATATACAAAGCACACACCATGCTCACGCCTATGCAAACCAAGCTGTAATTTTAGAACTTCTGGCTTTGCAAAGACAAGCCTCTTCTAATTTTGTATAGCCCATTACATATTCTCCAAAGCATAACACAAACACCTAAGATTTATATGCAGAATTCAACTCCTGCTTGCACAGTTGTTCCAAGGCAATTCTCTAAGCTGAACTATACCTTCTGCATTAAGCCTTGCTTTGCTGCCATTTGTAAGAAGCTCAGCCATGGTACATCTCTTTTCCAGCAGTGAATGATAATAAAGACACTCCATTGAGTATCAATGAGAAGCATTTACTACTCAGAGGGTTGCAGTGGCCTATAAAACAGTTGTAGTTCAAAACATATGGGCTGTCAATGTAGAACTGTGTCAAAGTGGAAGAGGAAAAGGCAGGAAGTATAATACTCTAAGCCAGGTGGAAGTCAGATACAACTCTGTATAAGAAGTAACCACCTCCTCTGGATATCAAAGGAGGTAGGGCTGATATGCTCATAAGTACAAAGCAGCTCAACAAGTTCATGTAACAGCCACTAAAAAGGGTTCCATTGTCAGTTGTTCCAAAGCAAAATAAGTTTGAAAGGGGCTTCCTGAGATGAGATGAAACTAAAGAAAGAAATGCAGAGCTGGAAAAGATACAAGTGGAAATCTATGCTGCACTCCAAGGAGAAATTCGAATAAACCCTATCAGCTGGGGTCAAATAAAGGCTACTTTATAAACTGTAATAGAAAAGAAAGACAATCCCTTGCCCAGCAACATTAGTACAAAATGCATAATGTAAACTGAACAGTTATTTGGATCAAACAAGTAGTCTTTATCAAATCAGCAAAGTCTGCCATCTGTAATCAAGCACATTTCCTCTTATCTTCCATGATTCTGTTTATTCCTTCAAAATCTGATCCTCCATGTATGAAGCTGAGAGTGTCCACAACAAGATCAAGGAATGATTTTGACTCTCTTAAGATAGCATTTAGCCATAGCGGAAGATGGTAGTATTCTCAATAACTGATCTGAACCAATAGACAAGACCAGGGCCAACACAGCACCCACAGTAGTATCAAGATTCCACATGGGTGCTTCTATCTTAATTTTGCTACACCTGTAGTGAGTAATGTGGAGAAAGGAAGTCTTTTTCCACCTCACAGCTGGAGGAGAACATGGCTTGCTGAAATTAAGAGGAAGCATATTGTAAATCCCTGATCAGTTCCTGTCAGATCAATCTCATTTCTGAAATAGCCTTTGAAGCAAACAAGAGGCTTCCATTTGTAAATGGTCCATTTAACACAATCAGATTATTCGTGTCTCTGGGAAAGAACCACAATGATGTGGATTTTGTGGCAGACACACCACTGGCAGAGGAAAAGCATGAGATCCAGTAAGTTCTTTGACCTTATGCCATCTTGTTGGTTCACATACCAGGTTGCTGTGGAGTTGCTGGTGGTTGTACTATTATATCAGTGAGTCACAGATTTTTAATAATCGTTCTCTATCTGAGAACTTCTGCTAGGGTGGGGCTGCTGTGACATTTGAAACCAAATGGAGGGGCTGAATACCAGAATGTGTACGTGGTATAGTGAAGGGGCAGGGACACTGCCAAACTGTCTACATAAGAAGACTCTGAAAGTGTGGATCTGTACAGGTGCAGATCTACTTTTGTTTTCAGGGCTACAGATTTAATTAATAGTGAACAGATACATTAGAATAATGTGTAATCCTAAATATAAGTGAAAGGAAACAAATCCTACATGATAATGTGAGTTGCGAAATAAGGCTTGACCACTCTCTTCATGTATGCAGTAAATGTTTCAAGACACATACATACAACTTTTACAAGTTAACTCAAGCCAGCTGCCTATCCCTTTTTCACAACATAAAATGGCAAACCAAGCCATTTTGCACAGATTTTCAAGCATTTAGCTGTTGGAACTTCATGTTATTATGATGGACAGGTGAAACTCAAGAACTTGCTTCTGCACCTATACTACAGACTCTACATGCTGTGCCAGGTATCAGCCCAATTTCTCTACTGCTTTGTTTCTGAGGGAAGGTTTATAAAGATTATTTTTCTTTCTCAAAATCTTTACAAATAAGCCACTATGCTTTGTGAATTTTCAGTATACATATTTAAAGCGATAAGCAATGTCAGGTTCTAAAATTAAGTGCAAGCCTTAAGGAACAAAACTGGCAAGCAGCAGGATTTTTTACAAACAGGCTGAAATCCTGTTGAGTAACTATGCAGGCATAAATGGTGATGACAAGCAGCCTACAAAATGACTCTCCATTTCAACTCATCTCAATTCAAAGCTTCCTATCCTCCCCCTTCAGGCTCTGAGGCTCCATTTTTACCTGGAAAAGCCTTTGTAAACCTCAGGATGCGGGGAGGGAGCTTTTAATATTGGAAAATTACTGACAGATTGTTGCCACGGAATTTGCAATCTTTCCATATTAGAGGCTCTTCTCCTCCAAGGCTTCCTAGGTAAAAGGGATCCATATGGAGTCTTGGGACCAGGAAGGTCTTTTGGAAGCTTTAAATTGAATTAAAGAATAATGTCACAGTTGATGACATCATTGCAATTTACATTGGAAAAATATAAGTGGATTTCTGCCAATAAATAATAAGATATGTAAAAATTGAATTTATTGGACAAAAGGCTGGTGTACAACTTAGTGTTTATATTTCTTTAAAAAATCTCACTTTACATCTCTCAAAATGCAAGTCCTTGTATCTTACAAATAATTGTTTTTATCCTAAGTGGGTTTTGTGTCAAAGCAAATGATAATTGGAATACAATAGAAAGCAATGCCATATAGCTGTAAATAAATTTAGCAAAAATATTTTCAGGGTTATTTTAACATCAGAAACAAAATTTCCTACATGTTCCTTTATCATGCCCCTGAAAAGAGATGCTTGACCAAGGATCTATGAAAAATCATGCACAGCTTCATTTAGAGAGGGATCTCTGTCCTCTAACTGATCTGAAAGGGTTGCTCATAATCTCACTCCTTTCAGATAAAACTGTTCACCTTATTTGGGAAAGCTGTTAATGCAACCTATGATGAAAGCAAAATAGAGGAGCCCCATTAAAGGAACTCAATTAAAACTAAGTTACATATTAGTGAGTACCACAGTTCATTCATTTTCTCAGTGTATTACAGAGTGAAAAAACACTAATTCTGCAACTGAGCAGTCAATTTTTTATCACATTTTGTTTGTACATAAAATATATTTCTAAAAAAATGTTAAGGAAATAAGGAATAATATAGCCAAATATTAGTCACTCTGGAACAGTGTGATGATAAACATCACTAAATGCAAAGAACAAGCAAGCAGCAAATACATTCGCTGTTTTGTTCTCAAGGGGAAGCATCTGAGCAAACATTAGCAGCAAAAACTATGTAACTACACCAGCTGCTTAATAAACCTTGACAAATGACAACCTGTAGGTTGAGGGTCCTGTGAGGAGCCCTTAGGGGAAGACTGATCAGAGCTGGAGGACTGTTGTGCTGAACCCTCTGCTAGCTCTCGCTGTCTCTGCTGTTCAGCCTTCTTAAGCCTCAGCCGCTGCAGGCCCCTACGGAGTATAGCTAACTCAGGCGCCATTAATTCTGACAGACAGGGAAAAAAAAGGTGTAAAAAGAAACAGACACAGAACATAGGATAAAAAGAACATAAAAAGCTAAAGAGTGAGGTAATAGAAACAAGCAGAGGAACAAAAGCAGCAAATTTTCCTTTTAAAAATGCAGATTACTAATATTCAGCATGGAAATAAAATGTGTTTATCCTCCTAAATTAGAGGAATTATGAAGTTCATCATACAAGCTTCATAGTTCACTGAATTTTCAATCATTTAAGCAGTTAATTGAAAGAAAATGTAGAAAAGCTATGACTTGAAATACATGTGTGTGATATTTTTCTGCACATCCAGCGGGTGGCACCTCCTTTTAAAATATTCATTTGAATTAAAACATCAGTGTAGTTATAGGGAAAGGATAGAACTGAAGCCTAAGTACTGAAGTTCTTAAAATGACTGCTGTTACTAATGATTAAAAAATGTGTCACAAATAGTGAAAGAATGTGATGAAATACAGTTAAGACTGGAAAGTGATCTTAAGACTAATGCTAATGTGAGAGTTCTTACTCAAGAGCCTGAAATGAGGCCTGCTTCCCCACTACTGAGTTTTCCGTTTCTCAGTTTTTAAAATTTTGTATACTGATCTTTGCCTTAATATTGCCTGTTAATGATGCCTCCTTATTCACTGTTCATAGTTTTTAAATACTAGCTTTTAATTATGTTAAACAGCGTTGTATATTCATTGTTTTCAACTTTAAATGTTGTATTTCGTTGTTGTAAGCTACCCTGACTCCTGTTCAAGGAGAAAGGTGGGATGGATGAATAAATAAACAAACAAACAAACAGAAAGTGAGAGTAATTACTCAGTGACTAAAATCCTGTTGTTTAACACAAGTTGCACTAGAGTAGGCCAAATGAATCAGTGAGAATTTGGTGAGTAAACTCCTATATAAGTTTCACTGATTCAAATGGGCCTACTCTATTTGGGACTTGTCTGGCATGAATAAAGTAAGTAGACAACAGGATTTCAGCAAATATGTAGTGTAAAGTATTTTCCAACTTATGGTGAACTTTTCATGGTTTTCTATGTCCTAAAGTAATCAGAAGTAGTTTACTAGTCCCTTCTTTGGGCGGTAATGTACATTGCTGAGGTTTGCACAGGTGGCAGGGCACATAACACCCTCATCCACACATTTCCCAGTGATGTGGCTGGTCCCTCTCCTAGGAGGCACAGTGGGATTTGAGCTTTAAACTTCAACCCCCTGAGCAATATCGGCTCACTGAACTAGTATATTCTATGTATAGTCTGATACATGAAAATGGCTTTTATTTCATGGCACAGTGCAGGTGTTTAGATTGGATAACGGTTACATAGGTAAATGGCCTGTCTATGTACCTGCAGCAAAAATTCTCCACCTCCACTTTCTTCAACCACTATGCAGAAACTTCCCTGTATAGAAATTATCTCATAGCAGATAGCAGAGCTGAAAAGTACAGTAATGTATGACATGATTTGGGGAGGATAAAACCAGGGTTAGTTTTGCATTAGCAGTATTCAAAATTCAGTACACCTGAACTTTAAAAATTCTCTTCTACCTCCTGCATCCCCCAAACCATTTCTGATGGTTCTGAGAGTCCCTCATAGGAAAAGTATCTCAAAGATTAGAAGGTTCATATGGGTAGAAGTGAATTCAAATCAGGCACTGCAATCTGCATTAAGTAGAAGTGATTTCCATTATGACAAAGGCATAATTCCACACAATCAAATGTTTCTAAATGTTTCTAAAGTGAACACAGAGGAAGTTACTGAGAAACGGTAACTTGTCTGTAGCAAGCTGATAATAATACAGGTATTCATATAGAGCCCAATAAAATGGCTCTGCTTACTTGCAGATTCTCATGTTTTAAAAAACCCAGTCTTTACTTTCTAAAAAAAATTGTTGGAGTGACTAATTTTAAAATATTTTCATTGTTAGGGAAGATCAATTGGAATTTGACTTATATGGCTACAGACAAGAACATATATGCTGCATTTTTACTATTAATTAAGAGATTCATATACACAGGTACTTACTGTTTTCCTGTTATATTCCATAATTCTAATGAACAGCAATCCATTTTAAAGCAGAGTTTGAAAGGGAATCTAATTTGTTTCTGCAACTTGTTTTAGGTTTTTAGGCAACATATCACAACAAAAAGTTTGGCGACAACAGCCACAACACAGTGAATTATTAAAACTGTGACTAACTGCATGGAGCAAGATGTGCTTTGAGGGGAGTAAATTCCATGAAAAAGAAAAACCTGTGTGTCTCAGTCACTTAAAGTTATCGCTGAAGCCACCAGCAGCAAGTAATATACATAAAATGCAAATGGAAGAGACTAATAAAATTATGTTATGTCAGTTGTTTTATACTATATGGTTCATATCTAAAATCTGACAGACTTGCTTAGGGGAACACAAAAGCTTCAGTCAGTGTCCCTTGGGTGAATAAATGTACCTTGAGTATACAGTAGCTCTTTTCCCAACAGAACAGTTATTTAACTCTATACAAGAATGCTATATTGACAGATCTTATATCCATATTACACCAGATAAGAATAATTCAGTACCAAAAAATATTGTGTCTGCATATAAAATGCAAACTTAAAAGAAAAATCTGATTAGATACATGTACGGTGAAAACTTGCTTGGAATGAAATTGAGACCAAAGTGAGTTAGTCACATTAGATATTATGCTTCTGTTTGGCTGTGATGAGCTTCCAGAATGCCTAATTTAATTCTTTATTTCTTATACCATTTTATAATTTTTAAGTCTGTTTCTATTTTGCACTACCTTGTTCAGGATATTGTATTACACACTCTTTTCTTTTTTTTAAAGACAGAATAAAATGTAGTTCCTTCCTAGAAATAATCCAGCTCACAATGGCTTTTGCATGGTGCACGTACCACAGAATTTCCCAGTGAAAGGAGAGAGCACAAACCACTAGGCTTGGAGACTTTGGGGTTTTCTTGTGTTTATCAGCCTTCTAAGGTACAGGGAAGAGGACACATCCCACAACAAAATCTCTTCCATCTGTTGGTGAGTTGGGACCTCCATTCATCTGCAAGAGGTGGCAGAGGGAGAAACTGGTGACAGCTACTGATTTTTTTTTGATACCAAGTAATTTTCTCTCTCAGCTTTTTATATAAGCTGGGGGGAAAGAAGCTTTATTTCATGATCATCTCCAAACATGCAAAGGACACAACCACATTAAATTAACTTGCACTCAAAACTGTCTTCAGCTTCCTTCCTGTAGTTGTCAGAATCATGCAATTGCATAGCTTTGGTACATGTATCCAAGGCTATGTGCATACATAATACTTTCCCTTCAAAAAGCACAATATAAAAAAAATCACATTCTACACTCCCCCATTCTTTCTCTCTTCCAAAATAAACTAAGGTAGTCTGCATTTTGCCTGGGTTTTTTTAAATCCCCACTTTCCTTCTTCGTTCTTCTGTTTCTCCTCCAGTTCCCAGCATGTCCAGAGAAGCAGCTGGGTATGAACCCTCCCACTGCCCCTGTCAAGCACCTCTACCACCACAACTTTCTAACTGGGTGTCCAGCTGGCTTTTCAGATGACTCCTAAAAGTCTTTTTAAAACTGTCCCTGGCCTTTTAAGGTTAAAAAAGACCCCAAGGCTAAGATAATCTTAGCTGTCCTCATTCAATCAATGATCTTATTCTGCAGAAGTAAGAGCAAATGAAAGACTTCCTTGTTCTTCTAGGGAAGGGTAAAGGAATTGGAAGCTTTTCCTGAGCATGTTCAGAATTATGAATGGCTAATTCTTCCTGTTTATATGTGCCATCTTAAAGGACAAATACTTCATCACATACAGGATTACTAGCTCCAAAGAACAAAAAGGGTGTAGGGCAGGGGTGGTGAACCTTTGGCACTCCATATGTTTTGGTCTACCACTCCCAGAATCCATAGCCTGTATTGCTGGCAATAAAGGACTCTGGATGTTGTAATACAAAACATCTGGTGTATGAAAAGTTCATCTTGCCCTATATCTTTTTTTGTTCTTTGGAGTCAGTCTGTCCTGTACTTGATGAAATATTTGTCCATTAAGATGGCACTTTTAAACAGGAAAAGCAAGTCATTCACAAGTCTGAGCATGCTGTAGAAACAACTACTGTACAGGTTGGTATACTGTATTAAATTTATTGCATTGATTTGATGGCTGCTGCCCTCTAATGGTTGTTTAATGTATAAATTGGGGGGGAAACATATTTTATTTTACAAAAATCACAGCTTTGTAACTATCTTTGTAACTATCTGTCCAAGCTTCCCAAATATGGCACAGAACAAGACCAGATTGTCTACTACTATTGTGGAAAACTTGGTGCTGATCCAAAACCAGATTTCAAAGTTATTATTATTATTTTGTTAGAGCTGTCCCACCCTTTTAGTATCGATTTACAGAATGTTTTTGGACTCAGCTGCACAAATACCATGGTTGGGTAGGAGCACATTATTTTACAGGGTGGGCCCTAAAATTTTATTTTCCATTTTCCTGACTTTCTCCAATTAACTTTTGTCAATTTCCTTGAATGCCATTCAAATACAATCCCAGTTTTTAAAAAATTGATAATTTACACTGCATTAATTAAAGGTTTTAGGAAAGGTTCTACTCTAAAACTATGCAAGTCATAAAGGCAAAAATATTTGTCATGGTATGAGACATAATATGTTGTTTAATCATCATTTTCTGCAGACACATCTGTTTTGAAATTGTACTAAAATTACATGATCATAAAAACTAATCTAAGCAATCTCAGAACAATAGAAATGTCATTTTTGTTTTATAGGTAGACTAAAAATTATATAAAAAATAATTTCCACTTTGGTCCTCTTGAGGAGAAAGGCAGGGTATTAATATTTTAAATAATGAATAAATGAATGTTCTATCCAAAATGGTAACTGAAGTCACATTATGAAACTCATGGATTTGAAATTGGAATAAAAATCAAGTAAATTTTTTAAAAAGAAAATACAAGTTACAAAAATAAAGATTGAAGATAGAAAGCTATCACTTCTTTTGTTTCGTCACTCTTTTAGTTTTGGATCTATTGTTTCCTCTTCTATTTTGGCTTCTTTCAGTCTTTTTTAAAAGCATTTTCAAAATGTTCAATTTCTCCTTCAAGTTTCTTTTCTTCCTTCTGAGTTCTTCTTGTTGCTTATGCTGTTTCCCCTCCCCCGCATGTGTTCTGTGGGGCATGCATCAGCATGCGTGACCAACTGAACTAGTTCCTATTAATTACAAAAGATTCATGTCCTTGTGAATTCAAGACAGACAACAGTTTTTTTATGTAAGTTCTCTCTTAACAGGTTCTCTTATTAACTGAAAATCCACTTTTGACAGAAAAATTGCCATGAGACAGGAAAAGGTGCATTTTGACAACGTTCTACAGGTCGGAGGAACTTTTCCTGGCCATCAAAATACCTCTGTAAAAAGCATCCAGTCCAATGATTGTTGTGGTTTTTTCGGGTCTTTGGCCATGTTCTGAAGGTTGTTCTTTCGCCAGTCTCTGTGGCCGGCATACCTAGCAGTTGTGGACAGGTATATATTGGAACCACAAAACGCAGCATTCACACCAGAATCAAAGAACATGAGAGATACTACAGACTAAAACAACCAGAAAAATCAGCAGTAGCTGAACATGCCCTAAAACAAGCTGGACATGAAATTCTATTTCAAAATACTAAAGTACTATACCGGACAACACCAGCAATCTATGTTAGACTGCACATGGAAGCCAGGGATCATTGCACCAAAAAGACCAGCTAAAGGACACCCATCAATCACAGTGACAGATAATTTCTCCCCTCCTTTGTCACAACAAAAACATGCTGATCACCCTATCTCCTGAAAAAAGACAAAAGCTGTTCTCACAGCTATAAATACTCCATTATCCAACAAACAGCAACAGAGCATGGACAGAGTTCCTACTCCAGTCCTCTGAAGATGCCAGCCACAGAGACTGGCGAAACGTCAGGAAGAACAACCTTCGGAACACGGCCCAAGAGCCCGAAAAACCCACAACAACCATTAGACCCTGGCCATGAAAGTCTTCGCAAATACATCCAGTCCAACTTCGCCATCCTGTTCTGCAACATAATTCTGATAATGAGCCTTGAACTTACTGTGAGCGGCTATGGTTAAAACAGTGCATTGTTGCATCATTAAGTTGATTTGCTGCACACAGAGTTATACGTACAGCCACTATGCTGAGATGTGGCTTGTGTATAATGACAATAATCTAATGTTGATTGGCCATGAAGAACATTGAACTTCAAAGGTTTTCTCTGAATCAACAACTACTACTATGTTTCATCCTAGGTAAAACTTGGCCACTTGAAGTTCATTCAATTTTGTTTCTTTCAACAGGTGTTTTGCTACATTGTCACCCTTGCTTCTGTCAAGCAGCTTCTCTGACATTTTCATATCAATTGTTAACAAATAGGAACTAGAAGATATGTTCTGCAACTTCTCTGATTTAATGCAACTTCTCATTAGCCTCCTCATTAGCTTACAAAGCTCTTCATAGAAAAAAAGTGCCAGTATTTTTTGGTTTTGAAACCTTTGCAGAAACAGTTCACAATCTCCAGAAATTGTTTTCATGAAAGTCATTTTTGCATTTCATGAATGGATGATGTACAGTGGGGTCTTGACTTAAGAACGGCTCGAGTTAAGAACATTTTGACTTAAGAACCGCTCTCATAGGAAAATATTGACTTGACTTACATACTTAGATTTAAGAACTAAAAAAAATCACGTGGGAGGCAGGGAAAGTGCAAAATTTGAACTTTCAGTTAACTGTTGGCCAGTGAAAATGGTGCCTGTCTGCTTCCTCACTCCTCCCAGCGTTTAGAGAGTGGATTGGGAGTCTTCTGACTGCCTGGTACTGCCTGGACTATTTTCCCTGCCTTCCCTGAACCTTTCTTGACCTAAGAAAAAAAGAAACAAAATATCCCCTCTAGTGGTCGAAGGCGGAATAGCAGCTTCCCATTAGTTTCTATGGACGGAAAAGAGCAGATACGGATCAAATGGTTTTCAATGCATTCCTATGGGAAATGCAGATTTGACCTGAGAACTTTTTGACTTGAGAACCGCCTTCCAATACGGATTAAGTTCTCAAGTCAAGCCCCCACTGTACTGTAACCTTTATGCAATTTGCAGGTTAACTGTGGGGGAGTTTTGCTTCTTCCACTCAGTTCCTGATGTTGTCACAAATAGCAGCAGGTCTATCAAGACACCAAACATAATCCAACCACCCAACTGAGCAGAACTTTGTGGGAAATTGGGTGCTCTCTGTTATACCAGTGTTACTGTGGCGTTCACCCAGGTCATGAATATTCATATGCTATTTGCATAGACCAATTGGAGTGCTGGAGGGTGGAGTCTCAAGGTATAAAAGAATCAGCAGCAGGCGGAGGAGTTTAGATAAACACAGATAAGGTTTAGATAGGGTTTTGAGATGGAGAATTAGAGTGTAAGAGAGTTGAAAGAGTTTTGGAATTTGGGCAAGAGAATGGTGGTTGAGGGTGGGAAAAGAAGAATGTTTGTTTAAGAGTTAACAACATTGCTTGTTCTGTCAACACCTGTATCAATAAACAATAAACAATTTCTATTTGGTTCGTTTAAAATGACATATGGCCTGGACATCTAACATTAAAAATAGGTATTGTTGATGAAATCAAGGGGTGGCAGCTGAGGGGCATGTAGCATGAGCCTGTTGGTGAAACAATCAGTGGCCACATGGAATTGTGACATTTACCCTCTTAAAGGGGGGGGTGTCTTTGAATAAATGAAACATGCTGCATCAGACTGAATTTAGGTCCCATTGCACCGATTGCGACCCTGTTTTAAAACAACTGTGTACAACATGAAATCTACAAGTCTCAAAGCCAATCAGTTCTTCTTCGTTAGTTTGGGTGTCATTTCTTCTTTTATGTTTTTTTTAATTAAAAAGGTGATTTATGTTTGTGCCATCCATAAATATTTGTAATACTTTTGGAAATGATCATGAAAATATTTCTTTTTGAAACTTCAGAAGAGAATCTTCAACAGCAATGGTATGAAGAAAAATACAGGCTATATACCATGTGGAAACTTTATGATAATATTCATCTCCAAAACGAGCCACTAAATTCATCTATCCCTTTTGAACTACATTGTTCAATGCTCCATCAAAACAGTTAACAAACAATCTCAGTAGAAGATGGAAGCATCAACATACATTGCTTCTGTTTTTCCCAAAATGAAACCACCAGTCTATTCACCTGAGTAATTCTCTGGTTTTGTTACAAGAATTAAATGATATAGTCTTCATTGCCAGCTGCAAAATCTACAGACACTTTTCTGTTCCTAATACAGTTCTTGAAAACACAGGCAACTATACTCATTTGAGTGGAAGTTAGGTGTTTGCCATTTTCAACACTTTGAACACATTTTCCAGTTTTTGCTGGGCCTGTCTCTTCAAGCTCTCTGCTTTTACAATCTGAACTTGTACTTGTTTGAACTGAAACATATTGTAATGGACTGCTGACCTGATTTAACTTTCAGGTTCTTCTGATGTAGTGGTCTGTTCGCATGAGACTCCACAACAATTTCACTATTACTTAATTGAAAGGTTTTGTAGCACGCTCTACAATAACATTTGCCTTTGTTTCTAATAACTGGTAATGGCTATGGAAAAGAGTCAGCATAAAGTTTGATATCCAGTCATAATCAAAATGTAGTTTCAGATACAGCGTTGCACAGAAGCACCTACCTGACACTAAGATATAATAGATCTTACAGTACTTGGCTTTCAGCAATGTGGAACCCTTGCTCTACAATAAGAAACAGAACAAAACATGCCCTGCCTGGTCACCTTGTATACTCAGCACAAGTGCTAGCAAGTGAGAAGGAGTAACTGTTACTTTTTCTATCAAGAGGCTAACAATGTTTTCAGTTGTTTCATTAACATTCAATAGGTAATGTTATTCCCGCTCTTTAGACAGAAAACCAAAGAGTAATGGTATCAATGCTACTTTTTTTCAAGGAAGTAGCCGTGCTAGACTATATAAAGGGAATAAAACCAATAAAAAACCAAAATATTGTGGCATTTTTACAACTAATCAATTTATTTCAGTTTGAGTTTCCTTGAATTACGACCCACTCCTTCAACTACACGAAGTTTAATATTTAGGCTGCAGGGTTATATAGACAGTATACAGTATATGACTCCAGCTTCCTCCTGAGTGTTCACCCCAAATAAAGGAATTACTTCAGATTTGATATGCTCCTTGTACAAAGTAAACATAACCAAAATAATTACAGTCACGATAGTTGCAAGATAAACCACAAAAGATGGGAAAACTCTCAACCAAATGTTTGGGCATACAGTGAAAACCAGGAACATCCAAGACGTGTTTAAATCTGGGGAAGAATCCTCAACATTTTAGTACATGCCTTTTGGACAGCAGATCTCAACAGATGACTGTGTTGTAGCAAATTACAGCCAAACTCCAGTAAGAGAGTAAATGCAAAAATCTGATTTTAGAAATGATAGTCTTTAACAATTAGTCATTCCATTTGAGCTTCCCTTTCCTGTTAGCTATATACACAACTTTGGAAATGTTGGTGTAATAAATCCACATTCTAGTAATATCAAACATTCAACGGATCTATAGGCACGGTATGCCTAAAGTGTTCTAAGGAGGAAACATAACAGCCTACCAGATTGATGGAGTGTAGGAGGTGCAGGTGTTTCCAAGGACGGTCTTTGTTCATTCTCAGGAGATGACAGTAAAGAAGTAGAAGGGGGACTTTCTGTAGATGATGATGTTGAGGGAGCTTGGGCTGACACTGTAGATGACGACGACTGCAGCTGTTCAGGGCCATCTACTTCCATCTGGGCCTCAGTTTCAGTACTTGTCAAGCCAGTGCCAGAAGCAGAGACATCAGATCTACTGGTCCCACCTTTGGAGAAAAACAGGACCTTCATTTTGTTAAAAACAGATTATCAGTGCCACACTATGCTAATTATTTTGCAAATATATCCACAGAACACTAAGAGAATATGACACTGCTGAGTTTGCAGCCTTAAAAAAAGACGTTATCTTTTATTTTATAAAAATCCCCATGTCATTTCACGTTGAAGGCTTTTAAAACCATTCACCTCTAGAACGAGATCGTCCTCTTCCTCTGTTGCTCTGTGCGACTTCACTTGCTTCTTCAAACCATCGTGATAACATGTCAGACATCCTTTGCATTAATGAAACATTAGGGCTCTGTTCACCTATATATAAACAGAGATCTTAATGCTTTTACTGCAAAGCAGCACAGTACATTTTTGCTACTTGAAATCTTGTACATTTATGTCTCCAAAGAATGGAAACTATTTGTAAAAGATGACACTAAACTGAAATGCTATCTGAACATATGAAAGAGAGAATCAATGGCACTTGGTTTTATCTATAACAGCCATCTTTTGTAAAGCTCTAATTCATGCAATATTTTCCAAAGCAATTGCAGTACAATTGTATCACATTGTTACTATTCATACCACCCCTCTCTTCAAGTCATATGTTGTTAGCAAACATAAAAGAATGGTATGGGAGCAGGGAGCACAATAAGGAGGATGTAGTGACCAAACATTGTGCACCAAGGGTAATAAATACAACATCAGCCCTCCTGCTTTCAAGCAGTCCTTTTTGCCTCCATTGATTTTTTCATTTGGAATACAAGATGGATAATTTTAACAGCCATGTTTAAGTACTCAGTACAGAGATCCAAGTCTTCACATGTATTGATAAGAATGTATTCTTGTCATAACAATTTTTATTTGAACTCAAGAAGCTGAAAACAGATGCATTGTAAGTTGTGAATATACATGCACTATCCTGAACTAAATTCATCTTGCAATTTCTATCCAAAAACAAATAAATTACTTTATAGCCTTGAATCTATTATACAGATGCCACAGATCTAACAGAGATAAACATATCATCCAAAGCACGCTGAAGTTCTGTAGTCCTAAAATAATGTTTTGCTGAATAAGGTATAGCTTGAAAGATTTTCTGGACATGCAGCTCACCACAGGATAATACGGTTTTCGTATTATACTACTTCAAGCTGAGTATGTGGAATGATTGCTCTCCCCCAACAGAAAAGAAAACCTACTCACAAGGAGCTAAAATGACAGGGAGTAGGGTAAACTTATACACTTTTTAAAAAATGATATAGCACTTAGAATGAAAGGAAGCTTTAAACAGAAGAACCTCCACCATACGAAATCAAACTAGATGCAATTTAAAGAGGTACAATCTACTAACAGTTTTATTGCATGCAAGATGGATAAGAATAAACATTCCAAAATCAACCCAAATGTAAGCATGTTCACACACTGTATTTATAAATAAGTATTTTAAAATACTATTTGAAAATATTTGAAATAGGACTTAAAGGGCCAACTATGCCCCCCTCCAGCTTCTGGGAGAACAACTGTCCATTTCCACACAGGCATATACAGAAACATTAGGGCACGGATGTATACAGCCCATCTTCTGCATTTTGTTCACTTCTGATTTAAAGCTAGTATGAATTGATCAGAACTGGGTCGGCTATTGACAAAACATGAAAACTGAAATTTGCTTAAAGTAAACATGGCTTATTTTGTCTTGTAATGAACAAAAATGCTGCAAGGGCATTTACAAACACATAGCAGAGAACAGCACAGATGTTTCTATCTGTTCCTTACAAAGAGTATTGTTTTATTTTAGCTGCATGCAGAACAAAGGAAGATTCCCACCGTCATTTCAATTATTTAAAGAAGTGTAGAAGGAAACTGGCTTGAAACTGCATTTCAATTTTGAATGAGGGCCATGAGCCAGAAGCAAAGCACTCTTTCTATATATTTTGGTCATCTGGATGGTTAAAAGGATACCAGGTAGCAAGGTTGAAAACCCTAGAGAACTGCCGCCAGTCAGTGCAAAATCATGATATTGATAGTTCCATTTAATGACTCAGTACATATAAGACAGTGGTTTATGTTTGCATGTACTGAGAAGGGCTTTTTTCTGCATAACATTCTTCTAAAAGCTAGATTCTTCAGTTTCCTTCTGTTGACCTAGCTAATGTGCATATGGCTGAATATAAAACTTCTGAAACTCTGCTTCTGCAGCTTTAATGCAAAAAAGTTGATAGGAGAACTGAGCACATATATTTGCAATTACTTTCTTTGGAAATGCACTATTCTGACAAAAATATTTGCACATAATTTGAGAGTGATTTAGGATATAATTTTTTTCTGGACACATTAATACCATTTAAAAAATACAGCAGGACCTCTGTGTCCACAGAGCCATTCCACGATCTACCATGAATGCCTGAAACTGCAAACAAAGGCCGCAAGGCCTGCCCCCTTGTATGTTGTATATAGGGCTGCAGTAAACTGTGGATACTAACCCTGTGGATAGGGAGGTTCTACTGTATTACAGTATTCACTTATTTAAAAAATAGCACAGTCGAACTGTTGTCTTGTTTAAAACTAAGCAGTCTGAAGTCTTTTTGTCCACATTCATTAAAACTGTAATTTTCAGGTAATGAAGCTGTTAATTATCTGAGTGATCAGGATACGCACCCGTTGAGGACAGGGATCACATCTTAGAGGTAAAACACACAGTTTGCAGAATATCCCAAAATCAATCTTAAAGGTAAACGATCAGGTAGCAGGTAATGTAAGAGATCTCTGGCTGAGTCTCTAAAGAGTCCCTGGCTGAAATCCTGCTCTTTCAGTTAGACTGTGTAAATCTGACATCATAATCAACCACACCAATTTTTCAGAAATAAAACATTTCTGACCTCTCCCAAATGTCCTGAGGCTTCCATGGAATCCCTTTTGTCATCAAGAAGGTGCTGTGGGCCACAGAATGGCAAGGGGTATTTAATTACAGAAAATCACTGCTAGCAGGATGACTCTACTGGAGGCAGCAGTTTTTTATAATTAGATTTCATTCCCTTCCCACAGGCTCCCAACAATTTCACAATACCAAAAGGGGTTCCACGGGAGCTTCAGGACCTTTGGAGATGGGAAACGGTAAAAAAAATTGCTGTAGCTGCTGCTATCATCAGCCTTCTACTGCATAATACACAGAACAATGTTTCAGCCACTGTCAGTTGGGGAAAACAGTATCAGCCAGATAAACAAACAGTAGGAGCAGAAGTGATACAGTTCTACAGACTGGATTCAAAGCACATTAGTCATACTTAAATACTATTTATTTGAGTAGGACTAAAGGCAACCATAGCTAAGTCATATATTTCAGCAGGACTAAAACATAGCTAAGGCCACCGTTTCAAACACATTTACTTAGGAAAGCTCAACTTAACACAGCACCACTAAAAGTATTGCACAATATGCTTAGATTAAACCTTGTGTTGATCAGTAAGGACAGATTTTAATTGGTTGCACTATGAATTCTTTACTAAAGAGGTTTTGCTTTTGGTGAGTTCAATATTAGGAAATAAAAGGTGTCCGAAAAATGAAGCCTATGTGCATCTACTTGTAAGAGAAGAGGCTTCTTAACATCACTAAGGACCCACAAGAATAGGTATGTGTTCTGAAAAGACAGTGCAGTAGGACCTCTGTATCCGCTGAATCAGTTTCCACAGTTTCACTTATCCACAATCTGAAATTACTAGATCCAAAGCGCCAATCATGTCACACAGCCTTGAAATTTAATAGTAACAACAACAACAACCAAGTCTGCAGCCTCCAGATCCATACAGCTTGTTCCAAGGCTGCACAGGCTGCTGACATGTAATCCCGCCAGCTATACATAGTCACAGTGGTCTTGGCTAGCCTTTCTCCCAGGAGGCACTATCAGGATTTTAACCTCCTGGCTTGGCTCTATAGTTAGGTGCTCCACCCTACTGAGCTATACCAGTTTCAATTTATATCTCTTTTAATCTAATGGGTCATCCAATCAAAGATACACATATTATGTTACTGCCCAGTTCAGCATAATCATAAGAAAAAATATCATAAAACAGAATTCAGAATTCAGTTCTGTAATTACTCATAGGCTATATGAGACCCCTGTGAACCACAACACATAAATACTGGGCATCTATATCTATAGATGTCATATGAAAAAGAAAGTACACCGTCCTCAAATTCTATGGTTTTACATATCAGGACATAATAAAAATCATCTGGTCCTTTTCAGGTCAGAAAATTAGGTAAATACAACTTCAGATGAGCAACAACACATGACATATTACATCATGTACTGATTTATTTAATAAAAATAAAGCCAAAATGGAGAAGCCATATGTGAAAAACTAAGTACACCCTTACTGCTTCCATAGGAATTTAGAGGCTAGGTAGCAGTCAGGTGCTGCTAACCAAATGCCCTTGACTTAATTGATCATTGACAGGTGTGACCACCTCTATAAAAGCTGACATTGGTGCAGTGCACTGGTCTGGAGCATTCAGGTGTGTGTTAACACAATGTCAAGGAAGAAACACATTAGCAATGATCATAGAGAGGCAATTCTTGCTGCTCATCAATCTGGAAGGGTTATAAGGGCATTTCCAAACAATTCCATCATTCTACAGTGAGGAAGATTATTCACAAGTGAAAAACATTCAAGACAACTGCTAGTCTTCCCAGGAGTGAATGCCCAAGCAAATTCACCCCAAGGTTAGATTGTGCAATGCTCAGAAAAATTGCAAAAAACTCAAGTTACATCTCAGATGATACAGGTATCAGTTTGTGAAATGTTAAAATTCATGATAGTACAATTTTAAAAAGACTGAACAAGTATGATTTGTTTTGAAGGGTTGCCAGAAGAAAGCCTCCTCTCTCTAAAAAGAACATGGTAGCATGGCTTAGGTTTGCAAAGTTTCATCTGGACAAATCACAAGACTTCCGGAACAATGTCCTTTGGATACTGTAGATGTGACCAAAGTGGAGATGTATGGCCATAATGCACAGTGCCATGTCTGGCGAAAACTAAACACAGCATATCAGCACACCTCATACCAACTGTCAAGCACAATGGTGGAGTGGTGATGGTTTGGGCTTGTTTTGCAGCCCTAGGACCTGGGCACCTTGCAGTCATTGAGTCAACCATGAACTCCTCTGGTATTTTAGTCAAATGTGAGGCCATCTGTCTGACAGCTAAAGCTTGGCCAAAGTGGGGTCATATAACAAAACAATGATCCCAAGCACACCAGCAAATCTACAAAACTGGCTTGAAAAGAAAAGAATCAAGAGTTGCAATGGCCCAGTCAAAGTCCAGACCTCAACCTGATTGAAATGCTGTGGCAGCAACTTAAGAAAGCTGTGCATAAACAAATGTCCACAAACCTCAATGAATTGAATCAACGTTGTAAAGAAGAGTGGGCCATAATTCCTCCATAATGATGTCATTCAGAAAACTATTACTTTAAGTTATAACTACTAAAGGTGGCTCTACAAGCTATTGAATCATAAGGTCTACATGGTTTTTCACACATGGCTTCTCCATTTTGGCTCTATTTTAATTAAATAAATAATGACACGGTATGTCATGTGTTCATCTGAAGTTGCATTTACCTAATTTTCAGACCTGTAAAGGACCAGATGATTTTAATATGTCCTGATATGTAAAACTATAGAATTCAAAGAGATTCTCTTTCATATTACTGTATTTGCCAATCCACATACTGTTTTCCAACAGGTGTGCTCAAAATGGGTAATAATTAAAAGAAAGAGTATACCAGTAGCAATAAAACATTGCAATAAAAAAAATTAAAAACAAAGTCACTAAAAACTAACTCAGTAAAAATAGATTTCCAATAGAAATCATCTTGACAGCAAATTTAGCAAAACCAATGGGTTTGTCTGCTATCCAATGTGGCATGTTGATGTCAGTTCATACAACTTAATGCTCACTTTTTTCCCTCTCATGGAGTCCTTCATATCCCACAAATCTGCTCCATCGACTCTCTGAGTTCTCCAGAGCAACTCTATGGAGGCACAGAGTGACAGGAAGAATCTGCTACAGGGATGGGGGACATCCACTTGGTAGGCAGATAGCACCCACAGTTCTGAGCTGGCTTCAATCCTATACCAATCCTATGGAGAAGTAAGTCGTGTTGGGACTCATTGGGACTTAACTGCGATCCTAGGATGGTTTTTAGTAATGCATTTCACAGCTTGGACCCACCATATCAGTCTAAGGACCAATCTTGGCTTTTAGTCCCGGTTTGTTAACCAACATTAACCCAAAGCAACCTGGTTTGCATAGCTTGATTGTAAAGGAGAACTCTAATGCAAATCTTCACAATGAAACTGGCATGTGACAAGATGAAGGAAGGGGAAGGAGATGTGCTTGTCCGCAGACTCATATAGTTTACAAAGCTGTGGTCAATTGTCCGGACACAGTCAATGGTCAAAACCCTATTGCTTATTATAGTAAATCACACTAAAGTAGGCCCCATCAATGGGGATTTGGTGAGACAACCCGTCTGTAAATTCCACTGATTCAAATGGAGCTGCTCTAACTATAACTTATTTTAGCATAAGTTGCAGTTAAAGGAGACCCATTTGAATCAACAGAATTTACAGAGGAGCTGACTCACTAAATCCCCATTGATTCAATGCACCTACTTTAGTGTGATTTACTAGAATAAGCAATAGGATTTTGGCTAGTGTCTACACTGTGTCTAACCTTATAGCAACATTTAATGTGTAATGCTAATACAACTGAACAAAGTAGTACTACTAGTATTTTTAGTGAAAATCAAGGTACAAAAGAACAAACATATTACCATCTCTCTCTCTCTCACTTTCAGGTCTTGCTCTTGGTCCAGTATCTGACCAATCTCCTCTAAGTCGCAAACGTTTGACAGGAGGCTGCCGTAACTAGGAAAAGAATAAGTAGGGAATCTTAAAATGCAGCCATTGTTTAATCTCTAACAAAGGTTGGAAATGTGTAGGTGCTACAAAAGCCAAGACAGAAAAAGTTGTTTTCGACTATTATTCTAGCAATCACTTACCATTGGCTTGGCTAGCTGAGGCTTCTGGGAGTTACTCTTCAAGTGCTCTTCCTTTCCCCAACACAAACCAATGCTGAAATTCTCATACTTTTATAACTTTTATAACTTGTTTTTTACTGTAAAAGTCTAACTAAAGTAGCTGAACTGGCATTCGATAACATTTTCTTCTAAGGACTGACCTTCTTATCTATGTCATAACACAAACTGACTTTCAAACGTACTTCAGTTTCAAAGGGAAGTTGCCATATGTTGTGGAGGTCTGCATGTTAGGGTGCATGAGCCCTACAGATGAAGGTGATGATATTGACAACAGACTATAGAACTGCAGAGCCCTCCATCTCACCCCAATTTTCTGGAAGAAATTGTCCTCCATCAAGATCAAATAAGTAAAATATCAGCACTGATATTAGGACTGACCAGCTTCCCTTCTGCAAAATTGTTTTTATTCCATTATCAACCCTAGAAAGCATTGAGCTTGCACTAAAAAAACATACAGACTTCTCCATATCAACCAGGAATTTTTTAATCATCTAAAATTTTTAGCACTGTGGAAGGAAGACAATCTACAAAGTAATTTTTAAGTCTCAAAAGGCAAACATAAATACATTTCTTCTGTTATGAAATAAGTCTGTACTGCCTAATAACTCATTATTGACACTTTGAAAGCTGGTTAATCCTTTTTTATTTTGTCGTGTGCTCAATTTGTTTGTTTCCCCTCTCTTACCAGTCATTGTTTTATACATCTGCTTTTTTCTGTGACATTTGCCTCTGCTCTCATTTTATACTGTCAATAACGAGTGTAACTGTAGATATTTACGTTGCAAGCTGTCTTTATTGTCTTTGGGTCAAAAATATGGACTAAAAATATTTTAAATTAACGACATAGTATACTAGTCAATGAGCTACTTTTATAGCCATTAGAGAAAGGTATACTAGTTGTTTCTAATTAATTTCATCTTCTGCTATGGGCCACAATTCAACTGTCACCACTGAAAAAGTCTGTAAGCATCCTACATCACATGAGGCAATGCTGTCTGTGGAAAATGTCAATGTAATCTAATGCATGCCTGTTCAAAACAAAGGGTTAGCCAAATAGATGGGCACAATACTTCAGTCTTAATTCTTTAAAAAAGCCTTTGGTGCAGTGGTAAAACTGCAGTACTGCTGTCAAAACTCTGCTTACAAATTGGCTTCGATTCTGATGGGCTCAGGTAGCCAGCTTGAGGTTGACTCAGCTTTCCATCATTACAAGGTTGGTAAACTGAATACCCAGCTTGCTGGGGGTGGGCAATGTGTAGCCTGCATAATTAGATTGTAAACTCCCCAGGGAATGCTTCAAGGGTTATGGGGTGGTATATAAACAGCACACTTTACTTTTGCTTTTATTCAAACTTGGTACAAGGTGTTTGTCATTTTTGGTATTTCAGATTTTTTTAAAAAAAACCAAGAACACTAGGTAGTCTTGTTATATATGTAAGCTACACAGACAACAGCTAAACAAGACAATACTGAATAAACTAAAAAATGTTAATATATCTCAGAGATTTATGTATGGTTCTAGAAATGAATTTTATGGCAACCCTAATCTTAATACAGAATTTTCAAAATACAGGAAGGTATTTTTCAAATATACTGAATGTATGATTCTTTGAACTCCAACCACTGATTCTTTAAAATTCAGAGATAATTTTTAGCAGCAGTAGCAAGAGGTGAGAGGAAATATACATTTAATGTGTCAACAATATAAAATAGAATTATTTCCACAAGAAACATAAATAAATTCATAGGCTGTTTTGTTAAATTCACATCCTCCCTTTTTGTCTTAGGCAGGACAGAAAACATTTGCAGAGTATTGCATGATTCTTACAAATAGTGCCAGATGAACTTTTCATGTTGCTATTTCTGTCTTCAAGAAAACATTCTGTTATCTACATGTGACTACTACTATATCTAGAGTAAAATTTCATAATAGTAAACTGGTCCAGAAACTTTCTGTAGCCATAGCATGGACTGGCAGCTCTGGAAAGCCCATTTATAAATGAAATCATTTAGAATGCCTATACATTATGGGAAATCTAACAATTACTGAATTTACTTGCAATTTTCTCATGATTTAATACTAAATAATGTCTAATTCAAGTAGTATTTTAAGAAAAACAATTTGTTTTACTATATTTTGAAACACAGAATGCAAGGTAGTGATATTTCACATACTATTAGGGATAATGCGGACAAACTGTGTGTAACAAGCAGTGTGTGTACAAACTACTATCATTTCCATGAACATATGTCCATTGTAACCAAAATAATAACGACAATATATAAGTACATATGCCATTGGATGTAAGATCTGCCTTGTGTGAAGAGAGGAAATGCACAACAGCTAATGTCAGAATTTGGGTGATCCTCTCAAGTGGCACTTCTATAGGGAAGAAGGAATTGGGAAGTTAGCTTCCACCAGCCAAGTTGGATGCACTAAATCTGGATTGAATTAATAATATTCATTAGCGCAAGAAAGAAACCTGAGAAAAACCTTATATTTTAAATAACAAAACTAATAATGTCCAAAGTATGTGACTAATAATGAAGTGATTTTCCTCAATCACTGAATTTAGTCAATTTCGTAACTATTATTTTGCTTACCTGCTTAGATTACTATGATTTCAACCAGAATCTACCAGAAATATTATCTGCCTCATAATGTACCATATAAAATCATATATTGTTTCAATCTTAAATAAAAGAGCATTTTAAAAGACATCAAGCTACAGCATCTGTCATTTTTAAAATGAGTATTCTATGTATAGTATTTATTGCCATCAAAAGTCATCATGGAACACTCACTTCTTCTCTTCTTTCTTCTGCAGAAGGAACTTTAAGTTCTCTAGCTGTATCATCCTTAGGATCAAACAAGTATATGTAGTCTGAAGAGTAGCTCACAAGAATTTCTTGCCCATCTTCACTGTAGCACAGAGATGTTACCCTACAGGATTTGTTATTAAGATGGGGAGGAACAAAACGTGCCACCAAACCTATAGTTCCTCGGCCTGCATAATTACCTTCATGAGAGAGAAAAACTGAACTCAGTTTCCATTACATATAATCACATATATATTACTTCTACACAAGATTGAGGCTTTGGAGAAAATGCCAAAATAGACCTGTCTGATCAGTTTGAAGTCTTAATTAGTTTACAAGAGCAGCCAGGTTCCTACAGGAAGCCCCAAAAGTAGGACATTTATGCAGTAGAAACTGATACTGGGAGACAGAATCCCTCTGAAGTCAGCGTATGTCCATCATGACTATCAGCCCTTCATAGTTGTATCCTTCATGAATTTGTAATCTCTATTTAAAGTTATCTATAATTATGAAACACTGTATTTTGGTGGCAAAAAATCCATAGGTAAGCCATACACTGTATGAAGTACTTCTATTTCCTCTGTTCTGAATCTCCCATCATTTACATTCATTAGATGAGTCTAGCTTCTGAAGTTTCTAAGGAGAAAAATATCTTTCTACTCATTTCCTCTAAACTGCATCTTTTCATATAGCTTTATCACAATCCTTTATTCACTTTTTTTCTAAAATGGAAAGTACAGTGCTCTTCCTACTTGCACCGATTTGGGAGGAGGGAACATTAGGACTCACTCCTTCAAATTAATGAGTGAAGTGAGGAACTCATATGCATCCATTTTGTGCCCAAAATATTTATTTCGAAATAGGGTGGCACTGCCATCCTCTCTCCAAAACACTTCTCATACAAACAATATAAAGAGTTACACTAACTACACAGCAGCTCTTCAGATTCAGCCTACCAATATCATAATGACACCATAGAAGAGGTCTAGGTAAAGTGCAGCCCTCCCAAGGCTCTTTCTACGGGCACTAGCCCTCCCCCAGCCCCCTCTTTTTCTTGCAAAAAAAATGTGAACCATGGTTGCTAAAAGCCTTCAGGAAGCACAAGTCACCTTTTAAATAGATTACAGGTTTCAATGCATTTTTGCATCCACAAAATACCAGTTTTTCAAAACTAGAAGTGGATTTATTGCCACTTCTAGCTTCCCTTTTTATGCTTTATGTTTTTGTTTATTTATTTGTTTTGTGGTCTGTACAGCCCCTAGAGGGTTAGTGGGACAGAAAATTAGGTCCAAGGCCACCAAAGGTGCCCACCTCTGCTGCAAAACAAATCCACAGTACTTTTTTAAACATAACTTTATCTACATAAACACTCATCATCTCCTCTTTAGGTTCCACTGATCCAAATGGACCTACTCTACTTCCAACTTACCACATGACAACAAAGTAAGTCACAAGTACAGTAGTCCACTCGAATCAATGGAATTTATCGAGGAACTTACCAAATCTCCTCTGATTCAATGGGCTTGAGTGTGACTTATTATGATAAGCAACAGGATTTTAGTCAATATGTTTTTCCAATAATTGGCCTCAGTAGAAGTTCTTATTAACAATGGTATTCAGAATAGGTTGTTTTTGCAAAGTCACATATGTATTCTCCTACCTGTTGCTCTTGTGCCAAGCATTCGGCGATCATATATTCTTACTGAACTATCAGAGCATCCAACTGCAAGATAATATGGAATTGGAGGGCAGATAGCTACAGAGGTGGCAGCCCTCCGACAATTTATTAAAATATCCTAGAACAAGAGGAACATTGTTTATAAAGTATATGAACACCTAGAATTAAATCCTATGACATCAGGTAAAATCTAAATCACCATATTTTATAGAGAACTAAACTGCCCCTCTGTTAAATGAAATTTCAAGCATAGCAAGGCAGACAGACATAGCCACTGTAAAAGGACTGAGAGAATAAAAGCATGATAGGTAAAGAGCAATCTGAATAGCATGTTCCATAGTATTTAATCTACAAGTTTACGATTTTCTTGTAGAAAGAGGCCAAGAAGTAGATCACAGGGACCAAGAGTTAAACATTGCCTAAGCTAGTTTAAAAGGATTGAACTAAGAGATTGAGATAACAGTTAATTGGATGCAAAGAGCAATGCAGTAGGATTAACAACCAAAAATAGATACAACAGTAACAAAGCAACCCCAGTTATGGAGTTTATGAGTAACGAATATAACTAAAAAGCATAATTAGAAGCAATTCCTCAGGATAACAGTCTACATTTTAAAAACAAGTACTGTATTATATTCTACATTTAACAGAAATTCTAATTCTTAAGTAATCCTAATGTTCTTCCAATACCATTGAAATACTGCTTCACAATAGGCTGTTGTAATATAAATGAAATGTGCAATTAAATCCAAGTTTATGAAGTTTTGGGGGGCAAGACAGTTCAGATGTCTTATAAATGATGATATGCCAGATCAACAATACATATTTTTTAAAAGTCAGACTGTCTTTCTCATTCATATAGTTTTGTCTCCTAATATCTTGGTTCCTTTATTAGAATCCTTAGCAGAAGCACTTGAGCAAAATATACTCTGAATATAATCTTTATATAAACTTTCCTATAAAAGTATTTCTTACATCTTTACAGTCTTCTTTTGTGCAACTTGTCTTGATTCTAGTATCAAACCATCTTACAGTGCCATCCTCTCCACAAGACAGAAAAGTATAGGGATCATTCGGAACTGTCATGATCTGTAGTGCAAACAATTGGTATCGTAAGTCACAGAACTATGGTTAGCTTTGAAATATAAACCATGATCAAAAGACCTATCTGATAAATTTTGTCTCGTATTCTGTTGCTAGTCCCAACTAATAATAGACCCACTGAATTGCTTGATGATAATTCAACACTTACCTAAGTCAACGTGTCTCCTCTACTAGGCGCTAGCAATAGGATACTGCTTTTGTGTACTGAGAAGGCTTGAGGTTTATCTTAAATAGCAATGTCTACCCCACTGACTGATTGATTAATTGACTGATTGATATACCACCCCATTAGTGCACATCACTACTCTTGGCGGTTTACAACAATCGATAAAACATAAAATACTAAAAAACAATTAAATAAAAATTAAGAATTCATAAAATAAAAACAAGTGGCACCAAAGACAGTTATCTGACTGATGGCAATACAGGGAGCAAAATGAAACCTCTTTTGAAGCAGGGAGGTATAAAAATCAGGTGGTCTGAGCACAAGATTTAGGGTTTTTGGAGGTGCTTTTTTAAAACTCATTAGGCAAGTCTTTGAGAAGTCAGTATATCCTCTTCAGTTCTTGCCACAACTAATAAGTACTGTTTTACAGTAACTTTGAATCAACTGTGTGTGTAGAAAAAATAACTCCAGTTTGATTGATATAGCTTTGAAAAGCAACACAAACTGAAAACTCAGAAAGGGCTGAAAAAACATTTCATATTTACATACACATTACTTCATTATAATATACACACATGTGTCATATTTGCCAGCGTACAAGATGACTTTTTGGCCCTGAAAAACATGCCTCCAAGTGGGGGGGGTCGTCTTGTACGCCGGGTGCATGTCCAGCAAACCCTCCCTCTCTCCCAGCGAAGTCACTTACCTGGTAGTAAGACCAAGTAGAGCCCCGCTCCTAGCCTGGGAACAGCCTGACTCTAGCGCCGAACAGCTGACTGTTGGGAACAGCACAGAGGAGGCAGCCATTCTGAGATGCAACCACATGGCTGCTGCCTTTCAAAATGGCTGCCGCCTCTCCAAAATGGCTGCCGCCTCTCTGCTGTTCCTTCTTCCAGCAAACCCTGGCTCTCTCCAAAAAGGAACCAAAAGGGGCAAAAAGATCTCTCCCATTGATGCAGCCAAAGCAGAATCACGCATGCGGAAGAGGGGGTAGTCTTATACAGCAAGTATATAACAAACTCTACATTCTGAGTGGGAATGTTGGGGGGCCATCTTATATGCCTAGTCGCCTTATACACCGGCAAATACGGTAGATAAAATATGTCACTTTACAATAAGTTCTTGAGTTGATTCACAAAAACAGGTTGTCAATTTGGGACCCTTCAGGAACTCTTGTTGGACCAGCCCTAACCAGCAGAACTTATGGGAAGAGGTCCACCAAGCTGCAGACTAAAAACATCTGGATGCCACCACTCCCAAAAGCCTTCCAACAATAACCAATTTTCCCCAATTATAAATTGCCCAGAGAAAGACTAGGGTGATTTGGGGCATGGCGGGAGACTGGGGTGATTCTGGGTACACACAGGTAGGTGGAGATAAACATTCACTTATGTAAGGGTCTGAATGAAACAGGACTGGCATCAGCCACTTCAACTCCAACCATTTTTTGAAGAATGGCATAGGATTCGGGAAAATTAGAAAGGAACACAGCTCTCAGGCTGAAAAATGTCACCTTTTCCTGATATAAACAGACATAACAGAAACTACGAAACTGTACTTATGTGATCTTCTTAAATGATTGCAAATTGAGCAAAAGGATTTGCTCATCTATTCAGTTCCAACTTCAAATTATGCATTTATAAAGTAGAGTAAAACATTTTCCAACACTCATAAAATGTTATACTGAAGGTACCTCATAAGTGGTTCCATAGTGGCACGTGAATTGGCACTGTCTGTTGGTTTCAACATCTTGCTCAACATTAGTATAAAAAATGACTCCATCTCCAGAACAGGACACAATCTGTTTATCACTGGTACAAGGTAAGAATTTTGCACTAAAAATATTTGCCCGATGTCCTGAGTGGATAGTTGTTAAAACCTACAGAAACAAGGTTACTGGGTCAACATGTTTAGATAGTTCGGTGAATTAGGAATAAGACAGAGCTAGAGACTGGAATTTCAATTCTCCACCATGCCTCCCAGGAGTACAGCCAACCTATGTAGCTTTAGGCAAGGTGCACAGTCCCAGGACATCCCTTGAAGAAGGCAATAATAAACAACTTCTGAATACTTTTTACCTATAAATCCCTTGAAAGGGTCACCCTATGTCAGAATTGACTTGATAGCAGAGAATTATTATTAGCAGCACTGGAAAGAATGAACTTATTTTTCTCTACTGTCTTATTCCAAAAAGATCAAGGCATGCCACACCATTTTAACTTCACCATTCTGAAGTAGATTAGACTAAAAAGTCATAATTTGTTTCAGATCATCCACTAAAGTCCTAGCTGAATTGGGATTTACTATAGTTACCCAGTATCTGCACTAAAACATGTATGGGTTAAGTGGAAAAAAGCAGAGAACAATCCATGGTATTAAGATAACATTACCCACAGTAGATGCACTTTTAGGGTATGTGTAACTATGAGATTCATGGATATGTGCATTCATTAGCAACATTCTGAATATCCAAAGGAAAGGCTAATAAACAGATTGTCTTACCTTTCTACTATAGGGATTAGTAATTACAAGATTAGTATCATCAGATCCAGATAAAATATATTCTCCTGTATCATTCCAGCATATTGTGTTCACCTGTGGGCACACATTTAAAACAAAATTAATTTTAAAAAATCAATTGTCAAAAAGAAAAGGAAAAAGCTAAGTGAATATAAAACAGACCAGATAGCTAGTATGATATGGAAAAGATGTTCTCCAAATAAGATATCCTTGCAAAATAGTAAAATTAAAATTTCCAAGACACACATACACTCAGATCCACTGATGTCACCTTTCCTGCATAATTTAAAGTTACACAAGTGGTTCTGAAATTAATGCCAAAGCAGAAGTCATAACCTATATGCAGTTCTGCAGGCACAGTTGTGCAACTAGTTGCACAGTCAATTGCACTATCAGGTATGCAAAGTGGACTACCTGAGCAAAACTCCATCTGAACTTCCACAGACATTACTATGTCAATCAGAATAGGATTTCAGCCATAAAAAACACTTGACCATTATAAAACAAATGTACAAAAATCCTTTGGATTTGATGTTCAGATTCTCCCTCTTCCCACTCTCTGTTGCCTTTTTGTTTTATGGCACTTTATAATATTGCAAGCTTAAGAACAAGGACTGTCTTGTTTTGATCTGAATTGATCTAAAATCTGTTCTAGGAGAGTTTTAAACTAATGAATGAAATATAAATGCTATAAATCAGTTTCACCACACTTTATAGATGGAAGGCAAATCTCTAAATTGAATTATTTTGCTGATTTTATCTTGTGGTACTGAGTTCTACCCCTTCATGGATTGCTGCCTTGTTGTAGTGAAGGGCTCTGATTAATTCAGAGAAGCTATGGGCTATGCCGTGCAGGGACACCCAAGATAGACAGGTTATAGTGGAGAGTTCTGACTAAACACAATCCACCTGGAACAGGAGCTGGCAAGCCACTCCAGTATCTTTGCCAAGAAAACTCCATGGACAGAAACAAAAGGCTAAAAGATATGACACTGGAAGATTAGCTCCTCAGGTCGGAAGGCGTCCAACATGCTACTGAGGAAGAGCGGAGGACAAGTACAAGTAGCTCCAGCGCTAATAAAGTGGTTGGGCCAAAGCTAAAAGGATGCTCAGCTGCGGACGTGCCTGGAAGTGAAAGGAAAGTCCAATGCTGCAAAGAAGAATACTGCACAGGAACCTGGAATGTAAGATCTATGAACCTTGGTAAGCTGGATGTGGTCAAACAGGAGATGGTAAGTGCAGCGAAATGCCAACAGGTGACGTCATTCCTGCCTGTCCATCACAGAAGCTCAAAGGAGAGGAGCCAAGGATAGGGCAGCAGGGGCGGAGTTAGAGAGACAGTTGGAGATGTGAAATGGCAGTTAGGGTTGAGAAGAGAGAAGAAAAGGGTTAGAGAATTGAGCAGAGAGTGTTAGGAGAGGGAATTGAGAAGGTTAAACAATATTGAACAAGCAGGAATGAAGTTATAAGTACTATAAGAGAGATACTGATCAAAAGTATATAGTAGTTATAAAAGTTAATAAAAGTGATTGCATACATAATCCAAGCTGTGTTAATACCTGAAACAGTTCATACATGATTTACCCTTATGATTTACTTGACAATAAAAGAATATTTGTTAATTAAACCTCTGATTCCTAAGTTCAACAACCCTTCATTTTGGCAGCACACATGTATAACATAATTGGTATTAGGAGAATACCTGGTGGCAGTGTGAAGGAAAATGGACGTCATCCTTTGTGAGGGCCATATAAACAGGGGCTACAAAGACGATCGCCACAGTAAGAATCAACATTGACATCCTGGGCAACAATGGACGGGAATGGGAGAATTAAATTCCGACAATTATCATATCTACTATTGTGGGCAAGAATCCCGTACAAGAAATGGAGTAGCCCTCATAGTCAACAAAAAAGTGGGAAAAGCTGTAATGGGATATAATCTCAAAAATGATAGAATGATTTCAATATGAATCCAAGGCAGACCTTTCAACATCACAGTCATCCAAGATTATGCACCAACCACTGATGCTGAAGAGGCTGAAATTGACCAATTCTGTGAAGACTTACAAGACCTTCTAGAACTAGTAGGCATCCTTCAGTCTCGAAAGACTATGGTAACGTGCTGTGTATGGAGGACTTGGAACAGCGTCTAGTGTGGCTGAGGAGGCCAAGAACTAACACTATAGAAACTAACACCTAGAACTAACACCATAGAAATATGTTCTTCTTATTCTAGGGGACTGGAATGCTAAAGTAGGGACTCAAGAGATAAAAGGAACAACAGGTAAGTTTGGCCTTGGAGTTCAAAACGAAGCAGGGCAAAGGATGTTATCTGCAACCGAAGATGGAGAAGCTCTATAAAGTCAGCAAAAACAAGACCTGGAGCTGACTTATAACAATACTCAAGCTTAAACTGAAGAATGTAGGAAAAACCACTGGACTAGTCAGGTATAATCTAAAGCATGGGTTGGGGAACAGGGGTAAATTACCCCATTTGGGGTAAAAATGAAAATCCTGGGGATAATGAGTAGGCTGCTACCCCCCTCCCTTCCACCCACCCCCACCCTCTGCAGCCAAAGCTTTAATTGTAAACCACCTAACCCTGTTACTTCCTTCGTTGCAGCAGGGAGCTCCTAAATGCTCCCTTCTGTTAGAGAGATCAGAGAGATAAGACTAATTGGATGCAGCTGGGGATTAGTCCCGGGCAATCAGCCAATCCGGGGCTTCTGAATGACT